ACTTTTTTTTTTTTTAATTTCTATATAATAAGATCTGTTTTATCTTGGGCAATACAGCAAGAGGTAGTCTGCTTCCATCTCATTATAAACCCTGCCCTACCTCAGATTAACTTGAGACCTCCCAATTGAATGTCAAAAGTTCTAACCTCTCAGCTGTGTTATTGAGGATCATGTATATTTCTTTTACTTTTTTCTTATAATTCTATAAACAAAAGGGAATTTATTATAGTAAAATAACAGTAATAATTATAAGCTTGAGGTTATGAGTTATTGCTCCTATGATAATCTCTCAACTTTCTCATTTTATGGTAATTGATTTGTGTTTTCAGAACCACTACCCCATTCTTTTCCGTGGCATCAATGGAACGGTTGCTCATGAATTCATTGTGGATTTGAGAGGCTTTAAGGTAATTATAGTATAAAACCTTTTCAACTTTCTTCTATTTGGCCTTCTTTTTTTTTTCCATGACTTATTGCAAGCCACCATTGCTGCAGAATACCGCTGGAATAGAGCCTGAAGATGTTGCCAAACGTCTTATGGACTATGGATTCCATGCTCCTACAATGTCATGGCCTGTTCCAGGCACACTCATGATTGAACCCACTGAGAGTGAAAGCAAGGTATGATTCACTAAGTATCTTTCCGTCTACCAACATTTGATGTTCCTCCTCTCTCTTTCTCTCACGTTCATATTTAATATTTTTTGCAGGCCGAGCTGGATAGGTTCTGTGATACTCTTATCTCCATTAGGGAAGAAATTGCTCAGATTGAGAGTGGAAAGGCTGATATCCATAATAATGTTCTGAAGGTGAAATGGCTTGTCCCTACACCATATTTTCTCCATTTTTTAAGATAACAATAAGCAATGTCCAATATATTTCTAGTTTGGTAATTCTACTGCTGCAAGCATAGTTTAATTCTGAGCTTTCAAGTGATTGTCTAAAATATGTGCATGCAGGGAGCTCCTCATCCACCATCTTTGCTCATGGGAGATGCATGGACAAAGCCATACTCTCGGGAATATGCTGCCTTCCCTGCTTCCTGGCTTCGAACTGCTAAGTTCTGGCCTACTACAGGTATGTGTGAACATCCTCTTTACTTGTTCTTCCAACTTGGTTATCTGATCTTGAATTTCAAAATATACACTGAAACGAACTGTAGATTAATCTCAGAGGAATATAAGTTAATATTTGTTATTCTTAAAACTTTTTAAGTGGACAACGACAAGCTCGTTGTGTAATTGGTTTACTTTTAAATCTCTTTCTAGTATCATTTACAATATTACATTGATTTGCCATGAGTTTGGCCATCATGATATGGAAGCACTATGTTGTGCATGAATTTGCATGTGTTATTCTTATCCTGGGTAGTTATGCAGCTAACAACTGAACTGTTTGCATTGTTGTATCAGGACGTGTTGACAACGTATATGGTGACCGCAACGTCATCTGCACCCTTCTCCCAGTATCACAGATGGTTGAAGAGGAGGCTGCAGCCAATGCCTAATCCTCATCTCTGTGACCCTTGATCTGATACTTCTTCACAAACACGGAAGTTAAAACCAACATCTTCTTGTCCATCCAAAAAAAAAAAAAAAAATCCAATGCCTTCCTGGCTAATGTACATAACTTATCCACCATTTGCATATGCTCAGCTACAGCTGTGACTTTCATTTGATTGATATAATCATCTGCTTTAATAACAAAATTGTTGCTAATTGCAACTCAAATGCTGTGATTACCCTTGCTCTATTTTTGTATCCTCTCTTCAATTCCAAACAAATGATTCTCTCAGCTGAGTAAAAGCAACGATAAACAAGCATTTGCCTAATCAAAACCAGAAAACTACATCAATAGCATAGTCTAAAAGCTCCACAAGTTGAGTTTGGAAGATTTTCATGTATCCATTCAACTTTGAATAAGAAAATCACCATTGAATTATTTAGAAAAATGGATATGTGATGAGTGTAATCTACTGTTTTTCTTTTCTTCAGATGAAAATTAGAGAAGTTGGATTTCAATGGAGTAAATGAAATTCAGCAAAAAAAGTTCCATTTACAATTCCAACAAAGAATGATTATTCATTTCCTTAAACAGGGATGGGCTTCAAATTCAACTTCCTCAGTCAAATTCCAGTTGGCTCTTCTCTAAGCCAGTTCTTTTCCAGCTTTGTTTAATGTCCTAAGCAGAGATTTATAGCACAGTCAATGTCACCGCCAGTCTGCTAGATTCTTGCCAGCCCATTTCTGTCACTGTTTAACAACATTACCTTAGAAAAAGCCTTGTTTGCCACCTCCTTTTGGCTGCAAAATTTACCACCTAAACATAAATTCTCAAAGGATGCGGTCAAAGATTAAGTTAGACCTCAATCTTGTGCATAAAAGAAGACTACATGACTTAATGCTTCATTTGGATGGTTAATGGGAGAGTTTCGTCTAAAAATGAATAATAATGTGATAAGAATTTTTTTCACTAACCAACCAAATGAAATTTTAAACGAACATGAGTTTGTATTGATTACGTAAATTTATTATCAAAGTTGACAATACAAAATCAATTACTAAAAATGATAAAACAAACAAAGAGGATAAATGCTTTGTTTTTGTTTTAATTCATTTCTAGTCAAGTTAACCCCAACAAAGCAAAATTTGCTTAGAAATAACCCAGTTTTTACTAGACACGTGCTCAAGTGTTATAGGTTATTCTTCTCTATTTTGGGACAAAAGCTTGTCCACGGTGCAAGAATTGGACCACTTAAAAAGTTGCAGCTCCAGAATCTAGAAAGCTACAATCAAGTTTGGCTGGGATTGCAAAGAGTATTTGTCAAAGGTGGGTGTTTGAGTTCAATTGGCTAATTCTCTATGTCCTACAATGTTTCTGTTGTTTTCTTTTTTCAGGAAACTGCCCAACAAGATAAACTATAATGTGGATAAATCATAAATGTTTTCTTTCTTTGTGGTCATTCTTATTTCCTTTTAGCTCTTTCACGGATGCTCATTAAGTTCGGTTAGATTCATTGATAATTTAAAATATTTTATCTAAATTTTATCTGAGTTGATGCTTGAATTAAAATTTTTTTTTCAAAATCCGATTCGTAATGTTTGTGAATTATGATAAAAAGAATATTTTTAGATGTCATGTTTTAAAAATTAAATAAAAATATATTGAGGTTTTTTGGGGAATGTATTAAGATTAAAAGGATATAATGTGTTTTTTTTTATTATAATAATTTTGTGAAATATCACAAAAATAATTAATTTAACAGTTCTATAAGAAAAAAAAAATGCAAGTATTCGAAGGATGCTTGAAGACTCAAATCACTTTTGGTAGATATTAAGCCCCAAAATTAAAAAAAAAAAAAAATGCATTGAACATTTTGGACATCTACTCCTACGTCTTTAACCTTTCATAATTTGTAACTCACTTTGTTATATATTTCTTAATAATTTTTTTGTGAAAAATGATATTTTTTTTATTAATTTCCTTGTCAAATTTAAAAACCTTATCCTCAAATAGGAAATAGATTTAATGTTAAATTTATCACTATATTTATGCCTTAATCATTTTTTCTAATTTTTAATTAAAAATGATAATTAATTAATTGCATAAGTAATATTAATTTTTTTTATAAAAGGACAAATAAAAGGTCAAAGTCAATTAAAAAACACAAAGTCACAAGCAGCTTGTTTTATCATGTCTTATCCCATTGGTGAAATCTATCCTAATCGATATTACGGTAAATTTGAATTTAATTTGAAATTTATTCTTTGAAATTTAATTTAAATTCAATCAAATTTTAATTTTTAAATTTTAATTTGATTCAAAGTAAAAGTTAAATTATTTCAGTTTATTTGTTTAAATTAGTTTATCAAATAAAAATAAATTTAATTTTTTTATTCTATTTTAAATTTAATTGTTTATATTTAAAATTAAATTCAAATTAAAATATATATAAATAAAATAATAAAATATATATTACAATAAAAAAATTTAATCAAATTCATAAACTATTTAAATTTAACTCATTTAATAAATCAAATTATTTAAATTAAAATTTAACTCGACACAAATAAAACTTAATTTAAATTATATCAAATTAAACTCAAATAATTTAAAAATGTATCATTTATACTTCTATCCTATCCCCTGTTCCGATCATTGCATTGCCAAATTTTCATACACGAGGACGGTTCAATCAAGGATTCCATGCGTTGCAGCTTGGTTACTGAAACTGCACGCTCTCCGTCTATCTTCCTCGTTCCAGACTTCTACTTGCCTTTAAGCTTCACTTGTGTGGGGTCAATGCGCCTCCTGTCCCACTTGTCCCCAATCCAAATGCAGTCTAAACAAAATGATTTTAATAATCCGGATCAAGACGTTGAATCGATAAGCGGCAATTGAAATAATATTTGATAGTTGAAATAATAAATGATAAGCGGCAATGGTTATTGAATTAGTATTAGTGGCGATGATTATATAACAAAAACCATTGGTTCAATAATTAAGATATTAAATATTAATAAAGTGTAAAAGATTAAAGGTTTAAATTTCATTGTTTATAAAAATTTATTAAAATATTAAATAATAACAAAAAAATTAATTCAACCAAATTTATTTAAATAAATTCAATTCAATTTAAGAGTTGAATCGTTCAATCTTCCTCTGCTTATGTATATGAAATTTAGCACGTGATCGAAATAATTGTCAGCATTCACACAACTCTTCAATTTTTATTCAAAGTTTTGTATTTTTTTAATTTGTAATACGAATTGATTTCATTAGAAAGTAAAAAACCAATCAAGACGGTGAGAATTTACTCAAAATTATCTCATAATTTACCTTTTAACTAAGTTGATTCGAATGGTATAACGGTGAGCTAAGCAGCAGGTAAAAATAACCCAAAACCAAAAATCAATCAACGGTCTTGATTAAAAGAAGTCAATGGAAAATACACGTGTGTGAACATAGATTAGCATCAAAAGTGGGGTCCTTGAATTGTGGAAGAGTAGAGCATACAAAAATATTAATAGTCGTAGAAGGTAGGTTTTTTTAGTTTATTAATTTTGTGTGAGTATTGGAGGGAATGGGTGAACGGTTAATTCAAGCGTTTCAATTGGTGGTGCCTTGACGGAGAAGAGTGCGCAGGTTAAGCGAATATGCTTTGAAAGTAGTGGGCGTAGGTTAAGCCTGTTGATAGAATAGAACAGGATAGAAAACTAGAAACAGCTGAAACCAAGAACGAAATTGAAAAAAAGAGAGAGAGAGAGAGAAAAAAAAAAGTCGGCGTTGATGATCGATGACGAAAATGAAGCATCTGTTAAGAAAACTGCACATCGGCGGTGGTTTAAATGAGCAGAAACGATCGGAGGAGGCGCGGCCTGTTATCGGCCCAAGTCCGAGCCCCAGTCGGAACTCGAATTCCAACTCGAACTCGACGGGGTCGACAACGACGGCTTCTTCTTCATCGTTTTCGGTTAGTTCAGGGACAATGGGGAGAATCGGGGCCGTTGAATCGGTCGGGGGAGATAGGACGGCTGGAGATAAGGTGGATTTTAATTTATTGGAAGAAGAGTTTCAGATGCAATTGGCTTTAGCGATCAGTGCCTCGGATCCCGAGACGGCTCAGATCGACGCTGCTAAAAGGATTAGCCTCGCCAGCACCGACACCAACGCTTTCGTTGAGTTCCTCTCGCTTCGTTATTGGGTAATATATTCATTCGTATTTCAATTTTTTAAAATTTTCTTTTATGTAATGAGGTTTTTCTTTTTTAGGTTTTCAAAATTGCATTTCCTGTTTGAATCGATTCTAATCGCCAATTGGTTTTATTCTCCGCCTTAATCTGGTTGTGGGGTTTCATTATATTTATACCCTTATCTGCATTTTAAATATGAATAATTTTGTGATTTTTCTGTTAATTGGTATCTTTTATTGATAAATTTTGATTGAATTTCATGTTTCCTCAGTGGATATTACTAGTACATTTATTTATTTATTTATTTATTGTATTTTAAATATGAGGAGTTTCAACTGCAGATCTTATCTCCAGAATCCTCTTTCCAGAAGTAATTTTGGAAATTCTTAGCTTCCATGTCATTCTCATTAATCATGGATTGATTCGGATAAAAATTCTTCTACTCTTTGTGTTTACAGTTGCTTTTGATTTGCGTGTCAAGCTTGATTAATCATGCTACCTCTATTAATTGAAGTTTTGACAAGTATAGCAATTGATGCACCGTTATTGGTTTTATTCATTTTCTTCTCATTGTTTAACTACGTGAAGTTTTGCTTATCATATAGGCATGATGCTTTTTTTTTTTTTTTAATCTCTGCTATATAATGCCAAAGTCCTTTTTAACTATCTCTGATTAGGAAGCCTTTTTCCTTATGGTTTCTTGCCATTAACTTTACGTGTATGTTTGTTTGAGAAGTTATATATTTCTTGTTTTATTATTAGGGAACTGTAGTGTTGCCTTTCCTGTTATTATGATTCTATTTGTTCTTGGTTTAATTATTATGGTAGGATATTGTATGGCAAATGCCGTTATGGATATGAATGCTAATTGATGTTAGTTTTCATTGTGGATTTTTTTACATTAGATTAATTGAAATTAATCCATTTTCCTCCTTTGGTTTATCAATGCTGTACAGGCTGAAAGGTTCCTGTTCATATCTTCTTTGAGACAAGTGCTAGAACTCATTAGTTGATATATATTCTTTTTTTTTAGAGAAAAAGAAAACTAATTTATATTTGGTGTTATTTGCAGAACTATAATGTAGTAAACTATGATGAAAAGATTGTGGATGGATTTTATGATGTTTACGGTATTGCCACAACTCTGGGTGCACAATGGAAGATGCCATCTTTGGTTGATCTTCAAGCAATATCAGTCTTAGATAATGTTGATTATGAAGCAATTTTGGTTAACCGGTTGCTTGATCCTGAACTGCAAGAGCTTGAGAAAAGAGTGTATAACATATATGTGCAGTCCCGAGCTTTTGGCCATGGCCCTGTTTTAAGTGGACTGATTGAGAAAATTGCGGAAATCGTTGTTAATAGAATGGGTGGTCCAGTTGCTGATGCTGAAGAGATGTTGAAAATGTGGACCTTGAGAAGTTATGAGTTACGGAATTCTCTTAACACTATCATTCTTCCACTTGGACAGCTTGACATTGGACTTTCTCGCCATAGGGCCCTGCTTTTTAAGGTTGTAAAAACCCTTGACTCATTTATTTCCATAAAATTAAACATACTCATGAAAGAAGTATGTTTTCCATTTAACTTTGCTCATGTCTACATCACCCCCTCTCTTTCATTTTCGTTTAAGGACTATTGTTTTGCTTGCTTTTCTGCTTCTCATAATATCCTGCCACTTTTGTCTAATCTTACCTTGCATTAAGGATAAATGTGTGTGGACCTTTTATAAGGAAATTGTTTCATGCTTCTGGTTCTAGGTTCTAGCTGATAGAATTAATCTCCCATGCATGCTGGTCAAAGGGAGCTATTACACTGGTACTGATGATGGAGCTGTGAACTTGGTTAGAATTAACAATGGAAGGTAGTTTCCTCCAGCTCAGATCTGCAAATTCTTCTTTGTTTGATTTTTGGTAACTGTGCATTGCTTTTCTACAATTTGTGTGTGTTAGGGTCATTTTTCTTGAGTTATTCCCTCAACATGGTGTTATGTTATACCAGTTAGAACATTTTGTTCACCCCTGTTCTTTGGTTGATGCAAAATTTTCCTTTATGCTAAATGCGCATAAGTTTTGAGTTTACGGGTCAGTTTTATCCTATCTTCTGCTTTGGAAGGCAGTTTTGCTGACAAGTCAAAGAGAAAAGTTTAATTTTGTGTTGGCCCAAGTTTGGATGATTTAACTAATTTTCGGAAATAATGCAGTGAATATATTATTGATCTGATGGGTGCTCCTGGCACACTAATTCCTGCTGAAGTACCAAGCTGTCACCTCCTAAATTCTACACTGGATGTAAGGAGCTTTGCTGATCTTACCGAAGCCTCTCAAGGTTCATGTTTGCTGCTTGACAAAGGAATTGGAAATGTGGTAGTTTCTGCTGCTCTAGATTCAGGCCTTAAAGTTGGTGCCACAAGGTCAGTGGAACTTGTCAGCATTCAGACAAATGAAGATGAGAAGAACCTTGCCGGAAGAGCTGTCTCTGAGAGATCTGAACAGGAGTTTGGGAAGCTTCTTCCCTCGGCACCTAAATCTAGTAAAAGCTTTTCTGGCATTCATGAAAAACCATCAGCGCAAAGGAGAAAGGTTAAAAATGTTTCTAAGTATGTAATTAGTGCAGCGAAGGACCCAGAATTTGCTCAGAAATTACATGCTGTTTTGTTGGAGAGTGGTGCATCACCACCTCCAGATTTGTTAATGGACATTAATTCACAGGATCTTGGCGAAAAAAGTATGCCTGAACAAGTCAATCTAGTGAAAAGGGCAAATGTAGATGTTGCTGCTAGCTGCCTTTCAAATGAGTTATCAAGCAATGAGCACCTTCTTGTATCCTCTGGGATGGAGACTTCAGAAAATACTAATTCCAATACTAGACAAAAGCAAATGGCTAAACATCAAAGAGAGTTGGAAACGAATGTCATAAAAACTAATGATGCATCTTCTGATGCTTCAAGTGGGGATTTTCTTCTTGTTGGCAATATAACTAATCATTGGATACAAGTTAGTGAGTCTTCTTTCTGCTATGCTGATGAGTTTTGCGAAATACAGTCAGAATATGTCTTGGTCACGGATGAGAAACTAATAAAAAGGACTTCTGATACTGATTTGAGTAAGGAATCTGCATTGGAATTGATCAAAGCCACAGATAGTGACTTGCATCTGTCTAGCAATGGTTGCAGTGAGAAGATTAATCCTATGCCAAAGGAGGTTTCAGAATGGGAAATTCCATGGGAGGATCTTCAAATTGGTGAACGCATTGGTATTGGTAAGGTCTCATAATAACACAATTAATCTTGTTCATTTTTATGCATTTCTGTGGTTCTGTTTTCCATTATTCTTTTAAGTTTCGGACATTGTATTTCAATTATTAATGTGATACAGCTTGTAACACAATCACACAAATGCTGGCTTGGATGTCCTGGTCTTTTCTGTTTCCTTTGGCTGGACATGTAGTATGAAAAGCTGAATCTGACCAGCAGAAGATATATAAATTATTTGACAGTGCATCCTACTCTCAGCTTAACTGATCCATAGATTTTATCTCCTGCCAACACTAGTATTTGACTTAGCACAGTTCTACTGGTCAATCCAGTATGGTTCACATTCTATCTGAACAGGAATGTGCAAGCCTGCTAGACTTGATGGTTGCAAATGATGTTCGTGAAATAGGTTAAACCTGCTTTTTGGTGCAATGGATTTGAGAATAGGAGCAAGCTTAGTTGATTGAATCCTTTTTATATTCATGTTTAATTGGATCTACAGAGGGTACTTGTTTGAATAGGACTTGACTGTTCCCTACCAGTGCATACTTGATTAATAGATAAACTCTTGTCTTCCAGGATCATATGGCGAGGTCTACCGAGCAGATTGGAACGGCACTGTGAGTTACATTTGCTACTGCATTTTATTTCATGGAACTTTTAGGGGTAGTATACTACTAGATGATATGATGACCACAATAACTGTGCTACATGCCTAAATTTCCAAAAGTTATTATTCACTGAGCAGTGACAGTGACATTGTTTATGCCTAGTCCCCTAATAGAAAAGAGTGTAGGTCTCTGTGATTGAGTAATTGTGGTAATATGTGGTGCAAACTTACAAAAATCTTGAAAATCTTGAAAATCTATGACTTGTGTTGCAAGTGTACTAGGAGTATCATCATTAGTGTCTATTAAATAATTCTTCTATTGATTGATAACAGTATATGGCTTGGTCCAAAAGTCTTTTTAATAACTTCTAATGGTATTTTTCATTTTGAGTGTTTTTCCTAATTGTTTTTGTTGGCTCTTCAGGAAGTTGCTGTGAAGAAGTTTTTAGATCAAGACTTCTCTGGTGATGCATTGGTTCAATTTAAATGTGAAGTAAGCCCCTGAAAATAACTTCGTATAGCATGACATTTGTTTGTTTCTTCTCATGTTTGTGAGCTCAACTCACTCGTAGAACTGAATGAATTTATATTAACATCATCCCTGTTTGATGACACTGTGCAGGTTGAAATCATGTTAAGGTTGAGGCATCCAAATGTTGTTCTTTTCATGGGAGCTGTTACTCGTTCCCCACATTTCTCTATACTGACAGAGTTTCTCCTCAGGTTAATTTTCTTTATACATTCCAAATAGTTCTCTCCTTAGTCTTAATGTTTTCATAATTAGTAAGTTAACATTTGTATGCATATTCTTTTTGATTTGTTATGGGGTATGTAGTGGGCATTGTAAACTTCATGTTGGTTTTCCGTGGTTTTAAAGGATGAATCCAGAAAATAATGTTAGTGCTTGAACTGTGTCCTCATGGGAGTGTCGTGTGCATATTTTGTCCTTATGTCATGGTTGTAGATATTAGGTATCGGACTTCACTTCATTATGCCCTTTTTGATGCATTTATCGCTATTTAAGCTACTAAGTGCATGCATTTTGCGGTTCTGTGTATGAAAATAGTTAATTCTTTTCTAGATGTGTGTTTTCTTTATGGATCAGATGAATACTAGACCTCTCTGTTGTTGTTCTGATTTCTGCCAAGAAATTGATTAATTTCAAACGACAAGGTTCGCCATCCTGTCTTACATTCTTCTTGCTTCTCCGTCATTATTATGCAGGGGCAGTTTGTATAAGCTACTGCATCGACCCAATCCTCATCTCGATGAGAAGAGACGAATGCGAATGGCTCTTGATGTGGTAGGAGTCATAAGTGAATAAATAATTTTATTTTCTTTTGCTTCATATCTTGCATTAAACTCTCCTTGTCTCCCTTTTCCTTTCACTCTTCTTCCCTGCCTGGTTGTTTTTTCTATTGAAGTGAAGCTTTCTTCTTGTTTGCAGGCTAAGGGAATGAATTATTTGCACACAAGCCATCCTACTATAGTGCATCGAGATTTGAAAACACCAAATCTTCTTGTTGATAAGAACTGGGTTGTAAAGGTGCTTATCTCAAAACTAATTTCTGGCCAGAAGTCTTCCTGGATTTTGCTCATAGCTTATTTAAGCAACTTTTCAGATTGTTTTAATTTCTGCTGAAAGATGTCTATTGAATTTTTTCCAAAATGTTTGCTTCTCTATTCAGGTCTGTGATTTTGGGCTGTCACGAATGAAGCATCATACTTTCCTGTCTTCAAAGTCCACTGCTGGAACGGTAGTATTACTAAAAGATAATCCTTGTTGCTCACTTTGTGTTTTGTCTTACTTTCCTATTTATCCAAATCTGTCATCTTTTTATAAAGTAAAAGTTTTCTGATGGACTGCAGCCTGAATGGATGGCTCCAGAAGTTTTAAGGAATGAACCAGCCAATGAGAAGTAAGTGACTGTAACAGCACGATAGCATGTGTGACTCTGACATTTCTATTCTGTTTCTTATACAAATAGACTGGCTTGGTTGCAGATGTGATGTATACAGTTTTGGTGTGATATTATGGGAGTTGGTTACTTTACGTATTCCCTGGAAAGGTTTGAATCCAATGCAAGTTGTTGGAGCTGTTGGATTCCAGAACAGGCGTCTAGAAATTCCTGAAGATGTAGATCCAATGGTTGCACAGATCATACGTGAATGTTGGCAAACGTGAGTTCTAGTTGTTATTTATGTCACATTTATCTATATCAGGATAATGATTATATAATCCTTTTGGGGGTAGTCATTGCACCAACTCAATCACTTTTGAATGTTTAATCGATCTCTCATTTCTTGGACACTCGTGCAAGCATCTGACAAGAAATCGTGGTAATTTTTTCATTGCATTAAGTAAAAGAATTTGTGATCTGAATCAAGTTAAAATGCTGTAATACCAGATTGAAATTGGGAGAAAGTGTGGGATTTTAAGGCGTCCAATAACCTTGTTAGTCAACCTTTATGCTTAGTCATTGCTCGTGACTCTGTTTTCTGATGATGATTCTAATTAGCTCCTGTTATTTTTTGATGGTGTCTTATGTTGAAGATTTTGCATTAATCCTACTTGGTCTGTTCTCTTTTTTTGCAGGGAATCACATCTACGGCCATCATTTGCACAGCTCATGTACCGACTGCGGCGTCTTCAACGTCTGTATATTGAAAAGCCAAACTCTACAAATCCAATTATAGGCGGATCTTGATCTTGATTAGCTGTTTCGTGGCTCAAAGAGCCAGGCAGCCGGAAGGTTTTCCTTTTATGTGCAAAGAAAGTTAAGAGTTAGGACTGGGAAAGTGTTGGCCCATTCGAAGTGGGGGATCAGCACTATCCATCCTGAATTAAGTGGAGTCCTCTCAAGTAAGCAGCTGCATAAGAGCAGCAGAGGATACCACTTTAAAATTTGTTTTTAGTATTATGAATAAGTAGCTTCTGCCGAAGTGTAAGAAAGTTCCCAAAAGGAAAAACAAAGGGAAAGAAAAAAAAAAGGAAAACAAAAAGAAGAAATGAAAAGGAAAGGAAAATAAAGAGTCTTCCAAGTTATTTACCTGTGGAGGTCTTTGTTTTGGGTAGAAATCCCAATCCCTGGAATTGTAAACATGTCATCTCTACAGTTCATTGTGGAAACAAAAAAATAAAAGGAATTATTTGCAAATAATGCCTCCTTTATTCTCAATGTTTCTCTAATCTATAACTATATTAAAACAATAAAAAATAATCTCAGTTTTCAAGTGCACGACAGAACCATGGCCACTACACTCCACCTGTCACAACTGCCACCAGCCTCCACCGCCCCAACCTATCCCTCACCGGCCTTAACATTCTCAAAACCTCGTAACCCCATCAAAGAAACTTGTCGAATTACCAAAACACTGTCATCCTACAAAAATGGAAATAGCAGAAACACCCTTCCCTGCCAGAGACAGATTGCCCTGTTCCACGCCAACAACAACCAATAAACTTTATTCATAATTTTCTTATACAAGACATGAGATCCTTTGGAATTGCATTGCCTTTCATACTTAGCTAGGAAACCCGAAATCATAACAACGTTTTTCAGACAAAGAAAATCCCCCAACGGCTTCGTTATCCCAAGAAAAACATGTTTCTGGCATGATCGAATAGGGATATGCATTTCAAACAGGGAAAAAGTTGATGTTGTAAATATTTGGCAGGTGCATCTGTAACCGGTCAAGATTCAACTTTAAGACTCACGCGATTTAACATACACTCATAAGACATTTTAAATCAGTTTAACGATCTAGATTTATATTATTGTAAGATATTATCTGTTTCGATCAAAATTTATTTTGATAGCCGAAACTCAACTTTTAAATCCGTGCTGTTATAGGATTTAGATATACATTTATCCGATATCTCAAATCAACTTAATAGTCATGGTTTATATTTTTATAAGATATTGTTCACTCTAATATTTATAACGTCACGGTTTTATTTTACATAAAATGTCTCACAAAAAAAAATAATGTGAATTCTTTTATACTTTAATGATCCTTTTCATATCCGATATAAAATTATAAGATGATCTATCTTTATGACGAGTACACCACGAGATTTGATGAAAAAAATGTCACGTCAATATCACATCAAACACTTCAAGAAAACATAATATTTTAATCTTAAATCAAACATAAAAAAAAATATTACTGAAATATAAAAAATTTATATTATTTTTTTTGTAAGTCATTTTTTATAAAATAAAATCATAAAATCATAAGAATCAAAACGATTAATATTTCATAAAAATATACATAATAATTATTAGATTAATTTAAAACGCCGTATAAATATATATCCATAAATCCTGAAATCACGTAAACTTAAAAATTGAATCTTGATCCTTGACTTTGACCTTCAAATATCATCTGCACCGAAAAGGTTAGAACCCTTTGTAAATTTCGTGCCAAATATTTATGCCTACGTTCCATGTATTGTACGTCTACACTACCTTATTTCAATATTAAACCTTACAGCATCTATCAAAATGTGACAAAAACTCATGCTTTTCGCCTGAAATGAACTACTAAAGTTGTAAAGTAACATCATGATATGATAAATATATAACATTGGGATATATGCTCATCAGTTCATGAACAATGAAGATCACATTTTCGGGAAAGGAAACAAGAAAATTGTGAAGAAAGTTTGAAGCAGCCTCGCAGCCATTGCCTTTTTCTAGATTCAATGGCACTTAACGGTATTTCACATAAAATAAAAAAGTAAAAGAGTGGCACCAAACAACTTACCGTGCCCACTTTTAGACAAAATTTATCCGACAAATTCTCTTCCCATGTCCGCAAATGGCAATCACCCAAAACAAAAATTCCAGACAAAAATGGGCGAAAAAGAAAGAAAGAGATAGAAAACCATGTTCCAATGGCCCCCCACAATGGTTTTTAGTTTTATGGACAACCGTGCTCCAGTTTATGGTTATAACCATAAAGAATTGGGTTGGCATTGGCTAACTGTGAACCTGCCCATCAAGTTTCTCATCACTCACTGTTGTTGTCGAGGCCAAAATTTTCCAAGAATTTAGAGTTTTTTCCTTTTCTTTTCCTTCTCGACGGAGAAAAAACAAGTAAAACAGGACACATCTTTAAAAAAAAAAAAATTCAGCATCAGCCAATTTATTAGTTCTAAAGTCTGATTTCCAATAAATGCATTAAAAATGCAAATATCTGGATATCTCTATCAGTTCTTCATTGAGACAATTATTAAACCACCCAGAACCTGCCAAAACGTGACACTTGTAACTATATCTCAAAGCTAAAAATTGGGACTTTGAAAATGAAAGGAAACAAGAAAATCGCGTTCAATCAGAGCAAGTGTAACCTGAACTCCTCCTAGCCATGAGTTTTAGTAAGAAAACAAAATGGCCAGCATTGATTAGATATAATAAATAATAAACTATTAAAAGTAAGGGGTGGTGAGGATCCCATCTAGACGTGAAAATCTGGAATGGTTCATGCACCTTGCCTGTCCTTTTCCTGTCTTTTCTTGTCTTTCCAATTCCGAAACAATAAAAATATTTCACTAATAAATTTTGTTTTATCCTGATTAATTCCCAAATTGGTTTTTTGTCAGAATATATAAAATCACTAATTGAGCAACACTAACACAAACCAAAACCGAGAACAATAGCCAAAGCAATAATCTTTCCTCTTCTTCTTTATCATGTCCTTTCTTTGAAGATCTTTGCTTTGTTTCATTTGTCACACTACTTTTTGTTTCCAAGCAGTTCACCCCACCCATCCCACAGCCTACTTTTCGTGCAGGTTAGTGAAACAACTTTATCATTGGTCCAAATTTTACCTTTTTCTTTGGCTTTTGTCTGTTATTTTCTTGATTGATTATGCATTGCATGGAGTTAAAGATCTTGTTTTGTTCTAATGTGTTATGATACAGTTTCTGGGTTTTGCTTGGTTTGGCAGAAGAAATTATTCAGAACACATGGGAATTGAAATTTGATTATTGTTTTTGAGTAGCTTGAATTGAGGACTGTTAATTAGAGAAAATGGGTCGTAAGAAGATTTAATTTTGCTGATTTCCCTGACAAAATGGAACATTTTGTGTTTAATTTGATTGGTTGACTGAAGGAACATGATCTGATACATTAGATGTAAGCTTTCGAGTAGATTATCTATTTGGAGAATTGCAGATGTCGTTGTGCTAGCTGTAAAATTTGCCTTTTTGCGATTTTGATATTTTCCCAGAGGCTTGTTGTCATAAAAATTAGACCACTAAAGCTAAATGGAGATCTTTTTAAAGGAAGTGGACATTGTTTCTGGTTTTGAACACGAGGAAAAACATAGATTTTAATTGCTTTGTCAGTGAATGGAGTCTTTCATGTTGGCTTTTAGTCAATGGTGAAATGAAGGAGATTTTATACGTTTGGTGCTTCTTCCACTCATAATGTGGCTATTTCTCCGGTGACACCCTTGAGCTGATGTTAACATTCGTCTATGGGGGCATTTCAATGCAATAATGACTCTTTATTTTGGGTAAAGTTTAGAATGATGTTGCCAAATACAGGAGAGAAGATCTGGTTTGAGTTGAAGTAGATACAATAAAGGGCCAAAAAAGTTTGTTGGTCGAGACTATAAGGATGATAACAAGATAGTAAGTTGATGCTCTACCTTGAGCATCGAATTTCATTTATGGATAGTAAATGATTTGGATTTTTGCCCGATGAGTAGCAGTGGGAGTGCAACCTATAACAAAGAAATCCTTGTATTGTGGTGAAGATTAAGTTATTGAATTTCAAATTTCTTTGGTCAATCTGAAAAACGTTTTACTTATTCATGTATGTTGATAATTATTAATCATAACATTTGGCAGTTTTGCAGTCTTACACAAATTTTTGCCTCTTCTTGTATGGCATTTATCTGTTGATATTGTATTTCTTTTGATTCTTTTTTCTAAAGTAACACTATTATGTATTTTTTGTAGAATGAGATTATAATCTTTGTGACTGGATAATTGCTTACAAATTGAGAACAAGTCCATTATGTCTGAGGGTGTTGTTTGAACAAGTCCACCTAGAATTGCACTTTGCCATATGTCCCGTGTAAGACCTCCTGTAATGGATATAAAAACAGCTTGTGATGTTGAATCTGTATCTAGAATTCAGCATGACCTGTGGCCTCTAGATGAAATTGATTCAAAGAAAGCAAAGTTTCCTTGCTGTCTAGTTTGGACTCCACTCCCTGTTGTCTCATGGTTGGCACCTTTCATTGGACGTGTTGGCATTTGCAGGGAGGATGGAGCAATTTTGGACTTTTCAGTATCAAATTTTGTGAACGTTGAGGATTTTGCTTTTGGTGCTGCAGCTCGATATGTTCAACTTGATAGAAAAAAGGTATAGTTTTGTGCAGTTGCTCTGAATTGAACCTTTTACATCTCTCCATGCACACAAAGGCATCATGATGCTACCTTATTCTCCCAAACTAGTATAACTCTTTATCGGGAAGCAACAACGATGCTTTTCTCTTTCCCCTCCTATGCTTTTATGGAAGCTAATTTTTCATTCATGAAAGAGAAATTGAGCTGCTTAAAACAAGTTGTTGTTTCATTAACTATTTTTATTGTGGAGATAGTGTTGCTTTCCTCCAAACCTTGCGGGGCACACTTGCAAGCTTGGTTATCAGCATTCGGAGTATGGGACTGCAGTTACATGGGATGATGCCCTGCAGTCGAGTATGCATCACTTCGAGCACAAGAGCTACAACCTCTTCACATGCAACTCTCACTCATTTGTTGCCAATTGTCTCAACAGACTCTGCTATGGTGGATTAATGGATTGGAACATGCTAACTGTGGCAGCTCTGATACTTTTTAATGGGCATTGGGTTGATAGCATGTCCATAATAAGATCATTCTTCCCTTTCACAGTGGTGGTCTGCCTGGGGTTATTTCTGGTTGGCTGGCCATTCTTGGTTGGACTGTTCTCATTCTCTCTTCTCCTTATGGGGTGGTTTCTGTTGGGTACTTACTGTGTCAAAACCTTATTGGAAAGCTAGAGCGTTTCTTCATTAAAGTTGATTTTTTTGTTAGTTATTAGAATAATGTACACTTCATTTTCTGGTTTATGCAAGTAGTTTTCCCTAAAGCTCCAATCAAAGCACAAATGAACAACAATAACATCGCATTTGCACCCCAGCTCTCCAGCCAGGAGGCTAAGAGTCTGGGATTCCATGAAAACATAAACCCATTTACTTGTAAGTTTACATTAAAGTTGAGATTAAAACTGCAATGTGATCATTAACATTATCGACTGCTGTCAGCAGTGAGAAAGTGTAAGATCATGCCAGCTTAAGTTGAGATAAGATCAAGAGCAACATCATCAAAGAAAAAAGGATTTCAGGCGTATAGGACGCGCAATAAGCTTTATCACTTGGCTTATTTTGTGCTTATATTGAAAAGATGGTTTTTAAGTAATGCAAATGGAGACAAATAAAGTTCCTCTTATGCACCATACTTGGGCTCCTTCCAAAGCTTAAATGCCATCTCATGCAGCAATCTGTCAGCTGGTATGGTGAGACTTCTGGAAAGCTGCAACGAAAAAATACTTGATAGTTGATATAATAAGCACAAAAAACTGAAGCAACTATTAAATCAGTAAAACCAATATGTACCATATTCAAGATGGATTATGCATGCAAAAAGCCAGCCTTTGTTAAGAACATAGGATACCAAGGTTCACTGTCGTGTTCCAATGTACGAAATGACTCAGGTTATGAACTAATATTGGAAAGACTGTTTCGGAGACAAGATGTAGTCAAAATTACTTCATAACCTAATCTAACAAATCACAACTAGAGCTAGTATTGATTTGTAACTCTTCGGAATCTTCAAAAGAAAAAGTGTCTTATCATATCCTTGCGGGTTACAGCATACTGATATTGAGCAATTAACATCGGACTTTGGTGCCTGTTGTTCATAAATTAGTTAGATCCACACATAATGTCAAAATGCAAAACAAGAGTCCAAAAAGTTTTTCTTACCGAACATCGTTTCTTGAACTTTCTCCTTTCATGGTTTAACTCTGATGAGGGAAAAGTGCTTAAAGATTCTCATAGTTTGGGCTCAAAATTGACAAACCAGGATCATCAGCCTCTGACACATACCCATAACTCATCACAAGGGACAAGTGTAAACGGAATCCAATTTCAGTTCCACGCAGAGCTGCAAGCATAATAGCACCAAGCAGAGCATTGATGAATTCCATGTCACTTGCAGTAGCTTTGCCTTTTTCAACATTCAAATTCCTCCCAGACCCAATGTGCAAAATTAGTAAATCGATTAAGCAGGATTCCACTACCTCCCCTTCTTGGAATCCAAGTAAGGTCAGTAATTCAGAAGCCAAATTATCAACTCACAGTGCAGGAGGAGAACTGCTATTTCCAAAGAATCCATTCAAGTGCAATACATTGAAGCCAAGTTTTTCTCCAAAAGATTTAATACTAGAATTGTTAGTCAATACAGCAGCTCTCATTCCCATAAACCTGAAGATGGATAAAGAAGCACGTTGGCAGCATATTCTCATCGCTAATAATAAAAGCAAGCAAGTGCATGATAATACCTCTCTGAAATGGTTGGAATCAAGGATGACTTCTGAGACTTTGCTTCACTGTATAGTTGCCCGTTCTGACAAAACCCAAGAGCATTAAAGATTTACCATGAAAAGTGACAAAGACCCCATATGCTGATTCTGTCAATATCAGTCACTAAATTCCCTACTTTCAAACCAATCTATGTAAACTCTAAGCATCCCATTGCCACATCAATCCCTTCCAAACAATTAAATTTGCTTCTTAATGCACAAACAGCCAAACCAATTAGAAAATGTGGTCTTTTTTTTCCCAGTAATCCAAAATAAAGCAAAAGAATCTATCTTTCTATGTTTTGAGTGTATTTTTACAGAGGTTATATCTTCATTACCCACTTTCTAAAGTGGGAGTCAAAGATGACAAAGAAAGTAAGTGACAAGGAATTGAAAAGAGATAATGGGAACCAGTAGGAGCATGAGGGAGGCTCAAGAAACCAGTGTTGGCTTTAGATGCGAGAGAGTAGAGATGGGAATGTGATGGCCCAATGAAACGGACCAACCCGTCCCTGTATAACACCAATCCTCAGCTTGGCTTATCCACCATTGCTGTTACTCAAATGCTCCAACAGACTGGAAACAATAAAAAGAAGAGAAATGGAAAGAAAGATGAGAAGCGTGGAGGTTCGTACACGTGGATCGCAAAAGATGGGGTACTTGCAAGAGCTTGATGCCTCTTGTGGTCGGAGAAAACTAACCTAAATAAATGATAAACGCTACTTGATTATTTATTTACATGTGTAAACAACATTTTTTTATTTTTTACCTTTATACCGAATTTGAAATATGAGTTCTTTTTCATATATGATAGTGTAATTTTTTTTAATTTTATATGAAGAATTTAAATTTTAACATATATTTGATTTTTTAATTAATTTTTTTATTTTTAATATACAATAAATTGGAGTGATTATTATGTTCATCATCTCATCCCTTTTACATCCACCAAAGGAGCTTTCACAATTAGCATAAATAGCTGCATAACAGTCAAACAAGAGAACCCTTTTTTGTTTAGCTTCACTTTAATATCATGTTTCCCAAACCAACTCGAATGATACTTGGATTTTGAGGCGTTGGCATGGATATCTCTCCTGTTTGGTTAATTCTTGTGGAGCTAGTTCCATGAAGAGAATTTCCAGAACAAGGCAGTTTCTAATTAATGACGTGAATCAAAGCTTTTTGCAAGCAGGACACACTACTAAACAAATATATTCTTGTAAATCATATCGAGGCTTTAGAGCATTTTGGTCTAAAAATTGCTTCACATTACAGGTTCTCAACTTCAGTGTTGTAAACAAAACTAGGAAATAAGGTAGTAATGTCCCTGGAGAACAAAGATAGAAGCAAACAATTAGACAGATATCTTTGATAGAGGAAGAGGGATATAGGAGCTAGTCACAAACCTTAAATGAGGAAGAGTCATGTTCTTTAAGAGGCTAGGATTACAAAGCACAAATGCTTTCCATTCTTCTTTGTTGATTCTACGATCCTTGTCGGCATCAGCATCAGCAAATGTCTGCAGAAAAGGTGATGATCCTGTATGCATCAATAAGCTCCAGAAAACAACACAAGCAAAAGCAAAGAATAAAAACTTTCAGAATTCAGAGAGCTCACTTTATCAATGATAGCCTCAATAGGGTCATCGGACAATTTCATGTCGGATTCCATCAAAATGGCAATTATCATTTGCTTAACCTGCATTCAAGCAAAAAGCTAATTAGCTAAATCCTACAATTGCAGAAGTAGAACTGCTTGCTTGAAACCAGAGTTTTACTCACTTCTTCCCACTCGATAAACCCTGTTTGTCTCAAATCATACAACCTAAATGCAACTGCAAGAAATTAACAAGAACATAGATAAGGCATAGCTATAAATCGTACCTTAATGGTACAAAATAAATGATTTCTCTTGAACCCTTACAATCAATTTTATCTTCTATAGTGGTATAGGGATGAAGCACGTTGAGTCCAAGCACAAATTCCTCGAATTCAATGACACCATTTTTCTTTTGATCGAAAAGATTAAAAACCTACAAATGGAAAAGAATCAAAAGATTATTTGATATAGGAAACAAAATAAAGATTCTAAGGAAAACTTCTTTACAACATTCAAAGGAACAAAAGGGTTTCAAATAAAAAAGGAGAGAGAAAATCTACAGCTAATAGCCATTTTCATTCAAAAATTAAAATAACTCCTAAATTAAAAGAAAATCACAACTATAACAATGTTCAATATTGACTCAAATTCTAATTGAAAATCAGTTTGAATTTCAGTGAAATTTTATTAGTTAAAGAATTATTTAGTAATTAGGAATAAATATTCTTAATGGGTAAAAGTTCTTAGTAAATAAAAATTCTTGATGATCAAATAATGAACCTTTAGAATATGAAGTATTAACTTTTATAATTATGAGAGAATTATGAGATCTCCGTTTGGGAGATAAGTTTTTAAGGATGTGAAAAAGAGTTTGTTTGGGAAAACATCAGTGACACAGGATAGAGGATATTTTATAAGTTATACACTAGGAAATATGGAAATTAAGATTGTTTTAGGGCTCGAGATTAGTGTTTGTTTATGGTATTTTGTACTCTTTGTAATCTCTACATTTATAGTGAATTTCTCTCTCATCTGTGGATTAGGTAATTGAGTTGAACCACCTAAAATATTGCCCTTTGTGTGTGATTTATTTCGTATTGATCTCATTGTGAAATTTGTTTCTACTTAAAAAAAACTCAACAAGTAATATTAGAGCAAGTTGCCAACATCTTCTCGTGAGCTGAGTATAGAAGCTCTCCCTTAGGGCTAATGTGTGAAAGGGAAAGATTGTTAAGATTATCCCACATCGATTACGAAAGGAGATTTGTTGTTGCAGATTGTGTTCGTGAGATTGGAGACATGCAAGAGAAGATGTTGCAACAAGGTGTAGTTACAGGTTGAGTCAACTGGGTGAAGTTGATTTGATTGCACGATTATTGGCCATCCTTTTTTGATTAGGTTGAGTCAACATAGATTTGACCATGTGTAGTCGGGATTTTTTAAAGATCAATATTGTGGTAGAATTTGTATATAGGTGGAGATTTGTTAGATGTTGACTTAAATTTTAATTGGGAATCAGTTTGAATTCTAGTGAAATTATATTAGTTAAAAAATTACTTGGTAATTAAGAATAAATATTCTTAATAGGTAACGGTTTTTAGTAAATAAGAATTCTTGATGATCAAGTAATGGAGTTTTATAAATATGAAGTAAATATTAACTATTAAAATTATGAGATCTCTATATGTGAGATAATTTTGTAAATATGTGAAAAAGAGTTTGTTAGAGATATTCTATAGGTTATACACTAGGAAATATGAAAACTAAGATTGTTTTAGGGGCTCGAGATTAGTATTTGTTTATGATGTTTTATACTTTTTATAATCTTTATGTTTATGGTAAATTTTATCTCTTATTCGTAAATGTAGATAATTGGGCTGAACCACGTAAAAGGTTGGCTCTTATATTTAATTTATATCATATTAATCTCATTGTGAAATTTGTTTCTACTTAAAAAAAATCCCAACAAGCCTTGTGTTTTAGGCTACCCTAAGAGAGCCCTACGTAAAAAAAAAAAAAAGGCGGTTTTGACGTGAGTGTGTGGCACCGAAAACTAAGAGAAAAAGAAAGAAAAGAAAAGCTAAACAAGATAAAGAGAAAAAAGAGAAAGGAGAGTTAGTTGAATGGAAGTCGATCCGTAATCCAATTGAGCTGAAATTTTATTAGCATTTCATAATTCAGTGTTTTACATTTTGAACGGTGAAAATCAAGTTTGAAACTCTCTGAAAATAAATCTAGGTTATATTTGTTGAATTACCTATTTAGTGAGATTCTTTAACTATCTCTCTAGTTAGTTATTCACTATAATATTAGCTAGATGAGAATTTTGTATATCTATTATTTGATAATGAAGATTTTTCTAGTGATCCATAATTTTTTTCCTTTACACTAGAGGTTTTTCACGTAAATTTTGATGTGTTTTATTTTTTCTGCGTTGTTAATTGTTGTTTATTGCTGTGGGTTTATTACGATATATTGTTTCTACATTATTGTATTTATTGCTTCAAGCCCAACAAGTTGTATCAAAGCTCAAAAGGCCAGCTCAAAAGGTCGAAACATGGTGATTATAATCATGTTGACGATGTTGGGGAGATAAATCACACTTGAAGCCACGATAGCACACTAAAGAACCTATACATATTTGTTGGACACCACTTCAACTTAAAAGTTTAAGCTAATAAGTTATTGGGTCCTCTATATATATATATATATAAGATATCTTATTTAGATTTCTTAGTGATACAGGTTTTTTTACTCACATGTGAACTTTATTCCAACAATCTCTCTCATTTACTTGTAAGTTCTGATCAAGTCCTATTTTGGCTCCCCATGCAAATAAATCCTATCAACACCTTCTTTGAGTCAAACAACCTCACGTCTTAAATGATCTCAATGCACTTTAGATTGAGCATTCAACTTTGCCTCTCTGCAGGTTTAGGTTGATTGCAATCAATCACAGCCTTAACCTTGCACTCTATCACAAGTTGACTCAGTACATCACCTTATTTCTTATGTGTTTTAATTCTATACACTCATTACATCCAAGTTGAATATTTTATTTTGATATTGGTCTTCGAGCACATAGAATTGATGGATGCGGCCAACTTTCAATCTGCAATAATTTCTCCCCAAGCAACGCCATTACCTTCTTTCTTAAATGTTTCAATTTCACACACTCGCTACATTCAAGTCAAATTTTTTACTATGATATCGATGTTCGAGCACATAGAATTGATGGATATGATTAACTTTTAATTTGCAAACAATCTTTCTCCTAACAATATCATTGGGACTCGAACCTAAAACTTTTGACTCTGATACCAATTGTTGGGGAAATAAGTCACACTTAGCGCCACCCAAACATATCAAAGAGTCCATACATATATATTGAACATCACTTGAATCTTAAAACTTAAGTTATTGGGTTCTTAAGTCTTTTATATATATATATATATATAAGACATCTTATTTAAATTTTTTAATAATGTAAAATTTTGTACTCACATTTAAACTTTATCCCAACAAACAACTCCCCAAAATGCTAGCTGAACAATTGATCTTCCCTTTACACTATACTTCGATTGGGCCAGATGATTAACCATGAGACTATAGAAGAAAAAATTTACCGTCAACAAGAAGATTCTCGCCGTATGGAGTCTGGAACAATGCTAAGTGAAGCTCTTCCTACAACATTTGTTGAAATCATTCAACGACCATCTAGGAAACAAATTCTGATACATCAACTTGAAGCAATGAATTTATAGAAAATAAGCCATGAAAAGGAAAATCATAGTTTACAAAACATACCAACTATAATAAAGTTTATAACACCAGATTGCCTCAAAATTTCAAGTTAACTTGTGAATCAATCCATCATCAATAATTGAGCAACTCAACTCCTTGAACAGTTCGCACAATGCCTACATTCACCTTAACTGCGTCATAAGTTGATAACCAGTAAGAAAACTATTGAATCTTAATCCAATGTGAGCAAAATTTCAGTCCAAAAAAACCAACTTAACAGTAGATATAACATATGGATATGATCCAAAACCCACAAATTTTCACTCTTTTTTTTAATGGTTTTAGCAACCAAAGATATAGTAAATAAAGAAAAAAAAGAACATATGAATGAAAGGCAGAAGTACAGAGGGACTCATTGGAGAGACGGGTAATATCTGTTAACCCATAGTCGCATTTCTTGTGACAGTGCCGGTATTCAAAACAATTAGCCATTGCAAAAATCAAGAAATTGACCACTGCAATAACCGGTACGAAAGCTGCACAGATCCTCTCTCCCATCGTCAGGGAGCCCGGCCTCTGTTCATCACGATCGAATTCACAAAAATAAGAACTAAATCAACCACTTCTCAAAACCCATAACGAAAAAAAAAAAAACTGCAACTTTAGAAGTTATGTCAATGATTAGAAAAAGAAGAAAGATGGGTATTAAGGAAGTACAAAGGACTTGTTTTTGTCGCTGGAATCCATGGCTTCAGACAACCACACAGCAGAAACAGAGAGCTTTTTTTCTTAACTCTCTTTTGTATCTCTGTATTTCACTGCTAAATCTATCTGTCTCTGAAACCAAGCAGTAGTATTGTTTCAGCGTTTATCTGTTGTTGCGGATTGAGAACTCTCTCCACAAAGAAAGCTCGAGAGTACTACTAGGATTGAGAATGGGAAGACGAAGCTGATTTTTTTTATCCAAAGTTGGTGATGGTGGTGGGTTTCATCATTGTTTTAGTGGATCAGGTGGTTACATGAAACCCAGTGCCAGAGTCATAGAAGATTCCATAATAAACCTGTCAAAGAAAGGCTTGATAGATATAGCCGCTCGCCCCTTGCTGTTATACAGACTCCATGACAAAGGTCAGTTCCTCTGAAGAATTTCCAGGCAAGAATTCTGGGTTCCTTATGAGTTTGTAACTGGCAGCCATCATTACGATGTAAGCAAGCAACAAGGGTGAGAAATTAACCTTGCAGTTATTTTATAGAAGGTTGTAATGTTTATAATTTTGCGTCGTTTGCCTGTTGGTATCCGCCAACGACCGTTTTCTCTTATATTTGCTGGTTCTGACTCCAACAGACAAGGGGACAAGACCGGTGCCGTTGGTCGGTCCAAGGTTTTATGGCTGCATCGAATATGCCGGCAGATCGAAACCGGTTTATTCATTTTGGATTTTTCTTTGGGTTGAAAGTTTCATCAAAGGAAAGTAGTTTCAAGTCAAATGTACGGCAAAAAGCTTTGTTACACAAACGTTGGCAAATCCAAAATTTTCTTTTGCGCAGTTTCTTTTTTTGTAGGCAAATCAACAACACAAAGCTTTCCCAAAATGATGGTGTGACAAAGGCAATTTCTTTTGCCTTAAAAAAGGGTTAATGCGTAATTTAATTTATGAATTATATTTTATTACAATATGACATTTACAAAAAATTACAATTAGATATATGAATTTTGTTTTAATCTAACATTTTTATTAATGGGAACTTGTGGAAAAAAATTAATAGTATACGATTGATACATTTTTATTAATCAATATTTATTAAATTAATATTTTGATTTACTATGTTAGTCAATAATAAAAAATCTTATGAAAAACAATATTCAGTTTCCTATTGTAAATATTTTATAAATATAAAATTAATAAAAGTAATATTCCGTCTCAAAATTTTTATCAATTTTCATAAAATTTTAAAATTTTGATTTTAATGTATTTAATATTAAATTTTAAAATTTTTTTATAAAATTAAAATTTCATTATTTTTAATGTTAAAAAGTTAAAAAATTTTAAAATTTTAAAATAAAAATTTTAGATATTCAAAAAATAAAAAATAATTTCAAAATATTCAAAAAATATATAAATAAAAAAAATGAGATGGGAGGAGTATAGTTTAGGATAAAATTACATATTAAAAATAACAGTATTAAGACAAACGTGAAGAAGAAAAACCCTAAAATAAATTAAAAAAAATTAAGACAACATAATAATGTTTATCCTAATCTTTGTAGCCTTAATTAGCGATGACAAGTTGACTCACGAACACTGCCTTTGTACTTACTATTGCGCCTCTCTCTCTCTGTACACGTCTCTTTCAATTTCTCTCTCATCATTTCTTCTCTCTCTTCCCAACTTGCCCCAAAGGAAACCTCTCCCTCTCTTAACCTGCGCCGCTCTGCATAACGTGAGCCGGGCGTCGTTCCAAATGTTGAGAGGATCAGACTGCTCCTATGAGCTTGTTACTTTCTTCTTCGTTACTCTTTTTTGTTTGGCTTCTTTTTCACTCGCTCAACAACAACTCGCTGAGTCGGATCGATTCGACGACGATGCAAACGCCACTGTTGCAAATGCTTCCTCCATAACTAAACCGAAGGACGGTACCTTTGCCGCTATCATCGATCGTGCTCTCGAAAAGGAGTTCACTGAGAACGAACAAAACGAAGGTACGCTTTTGCTTAGATTAGGGTTTAAACTTCAAATCCATGCATCAGAACGTTACTATTAACATTTTGAACTTAATTATTCTTGTTTATTTCTAATTTGCTAGTTCTTTATAAACTGTAGCAATTAATTATTGCTCTTTTCATTTTTTTTCAAAGATTTTTGAGTGATCTGTTGTCAGGTTATGATTTAATGCATGCTTTTGAGGATCTTAAAGGTTTAATGAGAGTGCATTTGCTTAGATTCCTGGATTTGGGTTTTGCTATTAATTTTCCATTTTTTTCTTTAAAATTTAAGTGTCAATTATAGTATAAATTCCTCGCGTGATATGTTACTAAGGCATACACAGACTGTTCTCTGGAATTGTAAATAATTGCGGTGGATAATTCAACGTTGAAGAAAAAATGTCAATCTTTGAAAGTTTTCCAAAAATATCTGGCTAGAAATCTTATTTTGGAGTCTTTAGCTTTCATTGTTTCCTTATACTTCAGAAGAATATAAATCCAAAGGAAATTATAATTGCGGCTTTTATCGTTATTATTTTTTTACTATTGTTGGCAGTAAGTGATGATGCTGGAAGTTTCAACAACAGTGTAGCAGAACAGCAGGTTGGTAGTACTTATTCTTTGCAAACTTTTCAGCTTGAAGAACTTGCTAGCCTATTTTCTTTAACATGTGTTTGTTGATCAGGCTGTTTTGGAAACCGTTGCCAGAGTTAAGTCAAAGAAAAATGATACAAAAGAGGAAAAGTATGTGCTTCTCCTTATTAATTAGTAGATTTTACTTTTAGCTATTGAATTCTGATTATTTTCGCTGTTAAAAGAAGAATGTAATTTTCTTTCTTGATGATAAAAAGAATTGAATTATTTTCGTATCATATCTTCTGTATGACTAATTAGAAACATGTAGTTCTCTCACACTTTTTGCAACCTCCTTTTAGATCATTTCAACTCCATGACGTTTTCAATCTAGAGAATGATAACAGAGCTGAAGATACACCTATGTTGATAGATCGAAAGGTCAGATTGGTTCACTTAAAATTTCATGTCTAAATATATTGCCATACTTACAAGTCTGAGATGGTGGTTTATTTTCAGGACAACGTCTTTATTATATCTAATTTTAAATCAAAATATCCAGTGTTACAGCTGGACTTAAGGTAAACTTTTAATTATCTTCTGTTTCATTGAAGTTACTTTTAACATTCAACTAATAAGCTGATCTAAACTTTCTTTTGCTTATGCTCTGTAGACTGATATCAGATTTGGTTGTTGTCATTGTGTCTGCAACTTGTGGTGGCATTGCATTTGCTTGTGCCGGACAACCGGTCTGATTGTATTAATTTAAGCTTAGCAAATCTTTGCCTTCAATATTAAGTTCTACCTGAGTGTCTTAGTTTGCTAATATCCTATATATTTTACTGATACATATTATACAGGTGATTACTGGATATTTGTTGGCTGGATCTCTCATTGGACCTGGAGGTTTTAACTTTGTCAGTGAAATGGTGCAAGTATGTTTTATATTACAGTAATGTTTTACTATCAACATTGATGGCTTATTTATGATTGAATCCTCTGTAACTGTTCTGAATGATGGTTTCTTGATCATAATGTTATAGTTCACTCTGTTGCATATGGAACCCTTACTATGAAAGATGATTGATGTTTTAATTTGCATTTCTTCATCTCAGTTAATGTTAGTTATTATGATTCTTTCAGAGTTCATCTGAAGCCTAAACAATTTGCAGCTCTTATTGACTCGTTCCTGTGAAGCATCTCTGTGTCTTTTATCTATCAAAGTAGGGTAATAAATAAAAATAAACATAGAGGCAATGGTTTTAAGTGCCAGTAAGTAATGTTGTGTATGGCTTGGACATCTGATGTTAACCTACAATTTTTTTGCTAGGGTTGCGAGCTTAGTCCATGGCAGTCTGTTTTATTCAAATTTCATGTTTATTGGTGTATTCCTGTATGCTACTATTTTAATAGCTTATATTTTCTTTTTCATGTGAATCATGCAGGTTGAAACAGTAGCTCAATTTGGTGTGATTTTTCTTCTTTTTGCATTGGGCCTAGAGTTCTCCATTGTGAAGGTTGAATTATGCTTTTGAATTTATTTATTTTTATTTTGTGTGATACTGGTCGTACAACATTCTTTATATCATGCCTCTAACTACATCCTTCTTATTTTAAGCTTCGAGTTGTCCGAGCAGTTGCTGTCCTAGGAGGGCTACTCCAGATAGTTCTATTTATGTGCCTCTGTGGAATTACAGCCTCAGTATGTCTATTAATTTTGACACAAAGTCTATGTAGGTTTTGGTTCATTAATCCTTATTAAATGATGTCACCACCTTCACCTGAATCTGAGTTTACTGACTTTGCATAACTTACATTTAAAGTCACTGAGGTGTCACAAGTTATATTTAAATTAATCAAAAGGGAAGGAAGTTGTATCTATAGTGAGTTAGCATCATTTCACATTATATCTGGTTCATAAAGAGGTTTTTGCTGCTTTGCTGTTCAAAACTTAAATATTTCCTGCTTCTTTGCTTCAAATCTGATTTGTAGTTTGCTTTTGTTTTTATGGTATGCTTTAGTTGAATATGTTTAAGGTACATGCTTCTTTAACATTTATCATTCTTATTTTTCTTGTTATTATAGACCATGTCATACAGCATTTCTGATTCCAAATCGTGCATTTTTAATTGGGTGCTGTTTGCAGTTATGTGGCGGTAGACTTTCAGAGGGTATATTTGTTGGTGTATTCCTTTCAATGTCTTCAACAGCTGTGGTAAAGTTTAGTGCAAATGTTTCAAAGACACCTACACACATTCATACTTGCACTCACCGATAAGCACACACGGGTAGACATCATACATGAGTTTAGAGACCCTCACACTCCTTGTAGAGACCTTTATCTCTGTTTAGTATTTTTGGTTTTTAATGTTGTTTTCCTATTTTTCAATGGCAGGTACTTAAATTTTTTATGGAAAAGAATTCTACCAATATGCTTCATGGCCAAGTCACCATTGGCACTCTTATTCTTCAAGTATTGATTCCCTCATCCTATTGTCCTTTTCCAAATTCATGATTTCCTTTCTAGATTTTATTTGTGCAGTCTTGCAGTCAACTCAATGATATCAATCTTTTTCAATTACTATGATGTCCTGAGAAGCTTTTAACTTTGCAGGATTGTGCTGTGGGATTGCTATTTGCTTTGCTTCCAGTTCTTGGTGGAACTTCTGGTATTCTTCAAGGAGTAATATCCATGACTAAACTGTACGAGGAAAACTTTCAAAGTGTCACATTCCAAGTTTCATCTCTCTCTGCAGTAGTGGATAAATATCAATGGTCCTATTCATGTCTTTTAGATGCCATAAAATGGGAAAACATGTGATTAATGATTAGGCTTAGCTTTTAAGCGAGGGCAAGGCTTCTCACACTCTTTGTTAGAATTTATGCACAGTTTCACCTAAAACTAGAAAGATAAATCATCTTTCAATTCAAATTTATGTCACAGGCACACATAATTTTGATCAGAAGTCAAAGATATTATTGTTTTGATTTATCCACTTTTGATGCATAGTGCTTGTGATGGTATAAGAAGTGGAAACTGGGTTTTGGATTAGGATTAGGACTATAAGTTCTTGTTTTCCTCATAAATTTTGTCTCCATTCCTAGGTTTTTCTTTTGGCACTTTTAGGTGCTGAGAGTTAAGTTACTTCTTAACACTAATATTCTATTAACCAGGTTGGTCATGTTGGTTACCTTTTTGGCTGTTTTGTCAATATTGTCTCGGACTTGCCTTCCTTGGTTGCTTAAACTGATGATAAGCCTTTCATCAGAGGTAGGCATTTTAATCTGCAGATAAAATCACATACTGAATTTTTTCCCAATGTATGTTGTGAAAACATGCTTATGTGTGAGTGAGATTCATGTTTTGATATGATTTGTGTAATTACCTCTTATCTGTGCAGACCAATGAACTTTATCAACTGGCATCTGTGGCATTCTGCTTACTTGTAGCCTGGGTTTGTTTCTTGGTTCTTCTTGGTTTGTCTTCTTTTTACTTTCACTTTGTCAAGCATCCTGTCATTTTGTATGTAATATCCACAGAAAAACCCTCGTTGTTCCAAATAATGGTGTTTGTTTTATATGTAGAGAATTTTGTCTATACCATTTACTGTACTTTTTGTTGATATGTGAACCATATATATATATATATATATATATATATATATATCTGCTTTTATGTAATGTTAACGAGCCATGTTAATTGTGTTTTGATATCTGCTTGAGATTCAAAGAGTAGAAGTACATAACTTTACCCTCTTACCAGTGGTGCAATTGGAATGCTTTGAATGTATTTAATTTGATAATTGCTTGTTGAAAAAGCCTTATGAATAATGTTCTAGATTCTCTGCATTATGCCATAGACCATTGGAATTCTGCTGGTACGTACATGCACAACTGCTTAAGTCTTTACTTTAAGGTATGGAACAGGGAAGGAAATCACACAGTTGCTGATCACAATCATTTGTTGGAATAATTTAAGCCAGTCAGATGTCCGCAAATTCTGCTTTGGAACTTTTATTTAATCAATTGTGTAAATTTCAGTGTAGTGACAAGCTTGGGCTGAGCTTAGAATTGGGTTCATTTGCTGCTGGAGTGATGATATCAACAACTGATCTTGCCCAACATACACTTGAACAAGTTAAGATTACACTTTTCACACTCCATTCCATCATGATAGTGCATACATTTCGTATGACTGGCACATCTCAATATTTATTAGATAACCAAAGTCATAATTTTTCATGTCATCTAAAAGTTTGTGGTTGTCAGACATGCACACCCATCTTAGAATCCTAGATTTCTTCCATCCCACCTCTCAACTACAACAAGTATTTACATTAATGGTGGGATGGGGAAAGAGAGATTTGTGCTTGTGCATGTAGTCATGTGCTCTGTAATTTTCTAGACTAAAGCAACAGACTTCGTTTTCATCAGGAAATGTTAAAATTTCTATGACATGAATTTATAACTAGCCGGACTAGGGACTAACTTACAGTGTGCAACACGGTTCATTTTTTTCACGCTTCCATTATTTTTGGGCATCTGTCATTTAGATTCGATGACGTTATCAGTCTATCCTTCTAATATTCCCACAATTGAAGGTAGTCTCGCTGTGCAGGTTGAACCCATTCGCAATTTTTTCGCTGCTTTCTTCCTTGCCAGCATAGGGATGCTGATCCATGTTCATTTTCTCTGGAACCATGTTGATATCTTACTTGCATCTGTTATATTGGTTGTCACCATAAAAACAATAATAATTGCCTCAGTCGTCAAGGGTTTTGGCTACAACAACAAGACTTCACTTCTTGTAAGATTTTATTTGATGCATACTTGATTATATATAGTATTTGAATTTTAAAGTAACTTGAGTTCCTTTACATGTGCAGGTTGGAATGTCTCTGGCGCAGATTGGAGAATTTGCTTTTGTTCTTCTCAGCCGTGCTTCCAATCTCCATCTTGTTGAGGTCAGTGCTACTCTCCAAGTTCATCATACTGTTGCTTTGGCAAGATGGGTGAAATAAAACATCCCTTGCTAAGAACAGTTTGTGGGCATTTTAATCTTCTCCCTAACTGAAACCTTGACCATTTCAGGGGAAACTGTACCTGCTACTTCTTGGGACAACGGCACTTAGCCTGGTATGATTGTTTTGTTTTTTGGCCTGATTGTATGGTATTCATTCAATTTTGTCAAGCCAGATGAGAAATTTCAACTTATGAAAAAATAGAGATGATGTGAAAGAAAAAGAAAAAGAGAAAAATGTATGCAAAAGCTGCGATGGTTTTTTTTTTTTTTTTCGTAGTAAATAGTACTAGGGTTTTTAGCTTTCTGAGTGTACTTCAAATCTGCAGGTGACAACTCCTTTGCTGTTCAAGCTAATTCCTGCCATACTACATCTTGGGGTGCTCTTACGATGGTTTGCCCCTGAGAGAGAAAGTTCCATCGAGGTAATTACGAGTTTCATGTGTTGGAAGGATCATGTCTGTCTAATTCCCACATATAACTCAAATAAATTTCTTCTCCAGGTTGGAATTAAAGGAGATAACCTTCGTTCAGACAGTGGAAAACAAAGCCTTCGTTCAGACAGTGGAAAGTATCGTATTACTTCGATGAACCAAGAATCCCATGATTCGTGATTATACCGTGTAAAACTAAGAAAAATCTCCATTACCTGACCGCCCTTTTTTTCACCTTTGTCATCTATTGCCGTTACAGCGCGGATGAAACGCAGTTTGCCCACATTTTTTTGGGTTGCTAACCCTACTATATTGATTAACAAATTGGATTGAGCCTGCCACTTGGAAATTAGCAACAGAAATGAGGTAACCTCTTTTACTTAAAAAGAAGTAACAAATGAGCAAATGCCTTGTAATCAATTTTCACAGCCATTTGACTTGTTTGTTTTCAGTGTATCATAGTTTTGGGCGTGTAATTAACGAGGATGCTCTACTAGTTTTTTTTTTTTTCTTAAACCGATATTTGAAATTAAATGTATTATTATATATAGTTGAATGTAAGATTCTCACATTGAGCATAAGATCATCTACAAGTTAACCTCTGTATCAACTTATTATTTTCCACTTATTTTTTAATGGTGCAGTTTTACCAGTTTTACATTCCTTTTTTTTTTTTTTGGGTGCAGTTCTAGCATGGAAATAAAATATTTCATCCAAAATATGCTTCTGGAAAGGTATCATAACCTAAAGATATTTTTTTGACCTTTTCCCAAAGTCTAGACTCTTAAGAGAATGCGATGAGAAACTTTTTAATGGTTTAATCTCTTACCTATAGTCAGTTCATGGCTCAATAAGATCGATCCACTGAGGTTCTTCTAAGCCCAATTCATCCACATGGGTGTGGTTCTGGACTAGCTAACAACCATTCAAACACTCTAAGCTTTAAAGCATAATATTAAAGTACCAAATATGAAAGATCTAAGGTAGAATTTTGAATCCCATCTTGTAAATTGCAAGACATGATAAAGCTGATCTAAAATCTTTAATTTTCTATTTCTTTGTATAGATTTTATCAAGAATGTGCATATTTTCCCCCTTTTTTTTTTAAGTACATGTAGATGTAGGTCAGGTGAGTAAGCTGCTTCATCGCCTGTTTGTACCCTTTGATAACCCAAAGCACTGAGATTGTGGGAGCTCAGGATTACACATGTTAGCGAAAGGTGACAGAAGATTGGAAGGAGCAAAGGCATAATAGTCAAGTAGCACATAGCTCCAAGGCCCGTGTCATATTGCCAAAGTGAACACGAAATGCAAGTCTTCCTACCTCCAGGTGGTTATCACAAATTGACTTAGACTTAGACAGGACAAATTAATGAAGTAAAGTCCATGAAGCTGTCTTTTTTTCTCTCTGTTTGCGCTTTGTCAGACTGAAACGACCATTCCATTCTTCTTCTTCCTCTTTGGGAGGGTGGACTTAATTTCGTTGGAAGTCTATGCATGTTTCCATATATATTGCTTCATGCTGAAAACAAGAATGGCCCCTACAATTTTATCATAACGAGGGGAAATCGAATGAGAGCCAGTCCCAGAACAATGAATCTGGGAGTTATATAGATCGATCACACGAGAGAGGAGAGTTTGTCAGAGTTTGTCACATGATCCACGATTCTCCCAGCATAATTTGCCTTTTCAATGAAGGAGACAATTCCCCTCACTTCTTTTAGTCTCCTTAGCTTTATTAATTTCCTTTCTTCTTCTTTTTTTTTTTTCTTTTTGATTTTATTTTGTATTCAGGCAATGCCCCTCCCTCCGTTCCCTACATAATTTTATCATTAAACTTGTAATACCACTTAATACGTATCAGATTTTTATCATTAACATTGACATATCACCAGAGATATTTCAAGAACAATCTCACCTTGTGTTTTGTGTTTATTTTTTTAGGGCAATGAGCTTTGCTTTGTTGTTCCCAACTTTGTCTTCGGTTTTTTTAATTTGCTTTCTGTCCTTTTACGTACTTTCTCCTATTTTTTTTATAGTATTTTCACACAAAGAAAATATTAATGAGTATAGATACATAGTATTTTTATACAAATACTAATATATTACTATTAAATCTGTAGTATTTTGCTTTCAGGTTTCAATCAATAAGTCTATATATATATATATATATATATATATATATATAAGGAAGAGATTTTAGGGATATCGGTTGATTCAACTTGAATTATACATGCATGGAGGTTAATAGAAAAGTTTTTTGCCACGATTGAGATGAACATATTCATTCTTCAAATTAATAGAGGAAATTGCCACTTTTAGAGTTTAGATCTTCAATTTTCCAAAATATATTATCATAAGATTGATTAAAGAAAACAAAGTGCTTAAGCTAAGGATTGACAACGCGATAACTATAAACTAATCACATATCGTGATGGGCATAGATATGATATTGTTGAGAGTTATCTAGTATTGAATAATCCATTTGTCATCTTCCCAAAAGAGAATTGACGGAACCAAGCGAGCTGAAGACAAATTCCTTTCCCAATATAGCCTTTAGAAGTTAACGAATTTTTATTCAAGGAAAGGACAAACACAAAGGACAAAGGGCAAAGGGCATATCTGTCTAACAACAAAATAAAAACTATAAACCCATATGGTCTTTCCTTCATGAACTCAAAATCCTCAGCTTTTCTTCATTAGCCTCATCCCTACTCCTTTTCATGCTCGTCTAGCTGCAAGCCTGAAACCAAAAGCACATCAGCACGCGTGCTAAAGTTGTTGCTGAGCTTGAAGAATAAGGAGAGCTAGCTAACCATGGACTCGAGCCAAACGCCCCCTCAGGGCCTAACCATAGAAGAATACGCGCAGCTGAAACCTCTCATTGACACATACCATAAATTTGAGCCAACACCAAACACTTGCACATCGCTAATAACGCAGCGTATCGACGCCCCAGTTCAAGTCGTGTGGCCTTTCGTTCGAAGCTTCGAGAGCCCCCAAAATTACAAGCACTTCATCAAGAGTTGCAACATGAGCAGCGACGGCGGCGTTGGAAGCATTAGAGAAGTCACTGTTGTTTCGGGTCTTCCAGCTTCGACAAGTACAGAAAGACTAGAGATTTTGGATGATGAAAAGCATATATTAAGCTTTAGGGTTGTTGGAGGTGAGCATAGGCTGAGAAACTACAGGTCAGTCACTTCGGTGAATGAGTTTCATAAGGAAGGGAAAGTTTACACCATTGTTTTAGAGTCTTATATAGTAGATATACCAGAAGGAAACACTAGGGAAGATACAAAAATGTTTGTGGACACAGTTGTGAAGTTGAATCTGCAAAAGCTTGGGGTTGTGTCAATGGGTTCTCTTCATGTACATGATTGAGAAGAAGATTGAAGTTGGTTGGATGGGTAAGATTCTCATTGGAACTCTGGTTTTTGTTTTTTGTTTATTTATTAATGGGGTTTGACAGTTTGGGGATTGGTTTGTATATCATACTTTTTGTCGGGTGATGAATTCAGTTATATTATATATTATGGGGTATCATTTTAATCTCTCATTAAAAAACCATTCATCTTCATTTTATTGAAGATTGACCAATGAAATAAGAAATAATTCGGTTTGTTTTTGTTCTCATGCCAGTTTTCTGTTTGCGTGTAATTACATTAATCAAGAACCTTAGCTACCCATATATATAACTCTGATGGTTTGATAATAGAAAGGGTTGATCTTTGAACTTTTCTGGGGGATTACTAAATTTCAACTTGGATCTGTAATTGTCTGTCTATAATATATATATATATATATATATATTTCATGATTGGTTTACTTTGAGAGAGAAAGAGAGAGAGAGAACTGGGCCATGGTTGAAAGAACAGAAGGTAGGTGCCCAACACTTTTTGATATGGCTTCAATGTCAACCCTTCATTCAACAGCAAGAGCCATCAAAGATCAAATATATTACCTTTCCGACTGCAAGTTGTGAGCAAATTCAAGGGACATGTGACTTTCGAAAGAACCCCCCCCCCCCCCAAATTAAGGCTTCTTTCTCTTTAATTTGTACCTCAAACCCATCTTAGCCACTTACTACTATTCTTTTTTTCCTACATATGTCAATAGCAGAAATAAAGCTGACATGAAAACAGTTCAAAACCAAATGTTTCAGGACAGGAAAAAAAAAAATCAAAACCATAAGTTTCCTTTTCCGTGATGCTATCATGAGGGAAGTCAAGAAAATGAGTGGGGATGACGAGAAAAGTAACATAACGAAACAATGATATCTGGGCTTCACAAATCGATTAGACTCTGAGCTTTCACTCTGGGCCGAACTTTGTGTTGGACCAGTAAAGATCTGTAAAAACCGAATCTCAGGGCCGTAGGCCCATTAAAGTATTGTTGCTTGTTTCTCTTTTGAGAGTCTCTCTTTCTTTTGCTTGCTTTTCATAAATGCGTGATTGATAAAAAAGAATACAGCTCCGAAACAAAAGTGTGCATGTACAAAGCAGAGCAGAGCTTGCTTGAAGCCTTGTACTGGGGTGCTGCTCAAAAACGTAATAATTGCCTTGTCCTTGCTCCTTGCTTAGGGAAGGCTCCACCCTTCCTTATAGGCTACTTGTCAAGTACCATTGGTTCTCCACCATGATCCATAGGGCAAACTCTTTCATCCTTTTGTCAGAGACAAAAATTGCAACAGTATATATGGTAACTTATTTGTTTATATTATTATATAAAATATTAATAATTTATATATATTATATTTTATATAAAAATTATATATTATACTTTATATTAATATTAAATTAAAAATATATTTTTTAATTTTATTAAATTTATATAAAATTTTATTAAAATTTTAAATTATATTTATTTTATTTATTTTATTTTAAATTACAAGTATTTCATGCAAAATTCAAATAGGTTAGTATATTTTTATTATTCTACTGCATTGGAATCCTTCATACAGTAAAAAGCACAACCATTAATAGTATACTTGTTTTCATACGAAGGATTTTAATTTTGATTTTGATAGTAAGTTACAGGGAAGGAATTATGTCACGTTATGTCATGACTCTTGACTGATGCTTTTATACACTATCTATAAGGAATTTTGTCTCTGTATTAATTGTCAGTTATGACAAATCTAAGTTATTGAAATCAGAAGAGCACATGTTATATGTCAGGCCTCATTAATACTAGATTTGATAATGATAAAAAAAATATATAAAAAATATTTTTTAAATTTAATAAAAATAAAAAATATATGTAATTTATATTTAATGTATTTTTATGATATAGTAAATTTTATATTATATTTAAATCAAAATAAGTATAACACATATAAGCAAAATACACAAAGAATAGTAGATGTCCTAAAATTTCTGTTTATAGTTTCATACTCATAATTTTAACTATTCTAAAATTATGCTACATTCAGAAATTTAAGCCCTGAAAATGATTTTTTTTCCTACCATCATTTATATCCGTTGGCTCCTCAACAGGGAATTGTTTTAACCAGTCTTAAACTGCACATGGCAATGGAACCACAGATACACATGACAGTTCCTAAAGGAAAGAAATTGTATAAAAATCCAAGGAGCAGATCAGAAGATCAGCTGATAAATTATTCAATAATTCATCATTACAAAAGATCTGGTCTGCCTCATACTCCATTGACATCATATGTAATAAGTAGTCTACAATTTTATGTACTCTATGAAAAGACTATTTCAAGTTTAAGTACACTAGACTAGACTACTTGTACTAGAATTAAATGCTAGTGGTGTTTGGAGTCGGTCAGTTGGGCCAGCAAAGCAAAGCCGAAAGAAAGGACTTAAATGGAGCGTGTAATTGCTTCAATAAATTTGTGAAAGCTCTTTCCCATCAGATATTCTCGTCACCATTGGCATGGCTTGCATCATCATATTCAAAGTACACTGCAAAAAACAATGTGTTTTTTTCCTATATCCTCTCTTTTTTTTTTCCTTTACAAATGTGTTCGTTTGTTGGCTTGCGACTTCTGTTGTTAGATTCACTAACTTTTGTTACTCAGTTCACTCATCTTTCTCGTCAAACACATTGCCATGAGGCTCGTTCTCGTCTAAATAAGCTAAAAAAGCAAAAGACTTTCGTCTGAAAAATGGTGCTGAGAGCACCTGCCATGAACAGGAGTTCGAACAGAGAAAATCCAGATATTTTGATTCTGATTATTGCAGGCAAACAGATAACGAGAGGTGGTGAGGAGAACCAAAGGAGATTAGAGAGAGAGAGAGGGACGCAACAGGGAGGGCCCCTCTAAAGCCTGCAAGGGAAATGAGTGCACTGCATCAAAGACTAATGTGTTTCCCTCCCTTCTCTCTCTCTCTCTCTCTGCCTTCTTGTTTTTACACTCGGGTGGCTTATCTCTCTTAATCAATGGGGGCCATTTCATTCATCTCCGTTGTTCTGCAGAACTGCTTTTCCTTTTCTTTCTTTTTCTGGGGCTCTTTGGACTCTCTCTCCCTACTTTTTAGTGGGTGTCTTTTTATTTTCAGAACCCATTTGTGTTTTATAGCTTTAAATCTTTGTGGACAGAAAGGGAGAGATTATGAATCTCGTTGGGGTCTGAAACTGTAAATCTCAGTTTCTTGGTGTTTGAGTTCTCGGAAAAAACTCCACTTTTCTGTTCATGCAAACAAATAATCCCAACTTTTTTTGTGTTGGCTTTTTTTTATGACCCTCTGAAAGGTGGGGATAATGCATGAGTCCTGTTAGCTTTTTCACCTTATTCTTTTTGTTAAAGAAGAACAAAGTCTTTTTTTTCCTACTGTTTTCTTGCTTTTTGACAATGCTCTTTTTATGGAGAAACAGAAACCCAATGATTTCATGTGAACTCTGCATTGCAATGGATTGTTTTGGGGGTCTCTGAGAAGAGCCTACATGCATTTGTCAATCAATATAGTTACAAGCCACTTTATGTTTTTTAGTAGGGTGAAAGATTCACATCCCTGATCCCCTGGATTCCTATAAATCTGCATGAAAATTCTTTGCTCCAATATTTTGCTTTTATAGTTGTGGTGTGGGTGAAGAAAATATTTTCACTCAGCTGGTTTTCTATTGACAGATAAATGCAAGGTTAAAAGCTACTCTTCGAATAAATGCAGGTTGGTCTTCTTTTTCAGCTTACCTTTTGTTGATCAACGTGGTCTCAGACATGCACGCAAACACACGAGCACAAAAAGGAAGTGAATATTGAAGCCTGAAGATCTTCAAGGTCTACTTTGTACTACTTGAACTGTTTAAAAAATGAAGATTTAGGCTTTGTATATTCTCTCATGTTCTTCCTTTTTTTCAACTCTGGACCTTCTTGTCACCGTGCTGTAGCCGCTTGGGTTTAATTTGCCTAGCTTTTGCTTTGGTGTGCATTTCCGTACGCATTTTAGCTGTAAAGCACTGCCATTCCTCCCATTCTGTCTGGCAATTCATTGACATAGGATTTTTTTTTTTTGGTGAACTGTTGCATGGATTTGAGTTACTCAAGGCTGTTAATTACAGATTTTTTTTGGGTAGTCTATGTTTTTATGCTTTATTTTTGCTGCCTTGTGAGTCCCATTTACTGTCTAACGTCCTTTGCACTTTGAATTTGTGGTGAAAGATTTCTCTATCAATAATCTTATCCTTGTGTAAGAGTGGGGCAGGAATTGTCCTCAATAATCCTGAAAGGTTAAATCATTCACATAATGCCTCTGAGAAGCCTGTGTACCATAATTCTGTACTCTTTTAAGAAAAATAGGGCCTAATAAACTCTGGTCTTGGGATTGTGGTTACAAGTTTCTACCTCCATCTTCTTTGCAAGTATGTGAAGTTTAGTTCTCATCGATATACATTAATTTGGTGACTTCATTTCATTACCAATTTCTCCAGGTTCATGGTGGATCATCAAGGAAGTTGTTATTATGTAGTGAAATTAAATTGGCTTAACTCGCAAATGAAGCCTAAGAACTGCAAATGATGAAGGAGCTGTTTATGCATGAGGCCATGTGATTTTTATGCCTACAGTGTAATGGAGAATGATATGTTCAGTGTTCCACGAGCCATTGTAAGCCAAAATTCTGTTGTTATTGATGGGATTCCATCACAGGCAATCCCAAATTCAATGGTTGACTCCAACTTATTTAACCACATCAACCAAAACCGGACACTAGCTGGATTTCCGGAGCTTCCCTCAGTGCAAGGAGAATTTATCAGTGATCTCTGTGCTGATCTCCACATAACTAACCGTGCCAGGTTCTTTGACTCTAACACGTTGGTTGCATCTGTTGGAAGGAATGTTGTGAGTGATGCTTCACTTGGCAGTTCAGGTTCAGACGGTAACATCAAGTTTCATGAGCAATTCATGGGCAGAACACCCATCTCTTCAGCTCCATCTGCAAGGTGTGGTCTTCAAGAAAACTTAAACGAGTTAGCAGTTGTAGCCCCTTCAATCTACCCTCAGGATTTTAGGATTTACTCTTCAACTGAATGTTCTGATGGCATAAATTCTACCATGGTAACCTCTCTGAATTGTGTATTTAATGAAGCATTTGGTAATTTGAACGGTAAGTGGGATTTTGAAAAATTTCCTGCTCCTCTGGAGTTTGTTGGGAAAACCTCATTGAAGACAGCATTTCAACCATATTCATCAATAGGATGTCTGGATCCAAATGGGTGGATAGCATTAAATGGTGCGAACATGAACATGGATTATCCTTGTGGTTCCTCTAAATGTAGTAATGAGCACTCTTTAAGTCTTGCCACATCTCTGCCCGCTGTCATCAATGGGAACAATATTCCTGATCAGTCCTCTGAAATAAACTGTTCTGGTGCAAATCACTGCTGCTTGAGTACAATGAGGTTAGGCTCAGAGCAAACTTCTTGTAATGCTAAGGAGCATTCTCTGAGTTTCGGTTCTGATGGACCAGTTCAAGTATCACACTTAATATCAGGATCAAGATATCTTCATGCGGTTCAAGAAATACTTGCTCAAATTGCGAGCTATTCTCTTGAAAATCTAGACCAGACAAGTGTTGTCGGTGGAGAAACTATACCCTTCTCCTCAAGCTGTATCGCTGGGGGAGGGATGGCACTGATGGATCCGAATGATCTTCCTGATATTGTTGGTAATTCTGACGTTCAATTAGAGGCAGAAGCACAAAAGCGAACAATTGAGGCAAAGAAAACCCAACTGCTGACTTTACTGCAAGTGGTATGTTGATCTAATTTATGCTGGTAGAATTATCATTTTTGGTCTGCTTCAATTGCTACCTTGAATTTGAAATATTAACTGCTTAATTTACTTGGTTATTGAATATATAATATGGAGGGATACTGATTTGGTGTGGGGCTAAAACTTAGATTGAAGTTCATAACTTCAAGACCTTTGATACCATACAGCGGAATAACCTTGAGCTCTGCCTTGCCTGCTCTAATTGAGCAAGTTGGCTCTGTCCTGATTTATGCAGTAGCAACCTGTTTAAAGTTATTTGTTTCTCATGTTAGTTGTTGTTCTCCATTTTCTTTCTTTTCTCTATTTGGTGGTGCATGTGACATGGCATTCTGGTACTTAAATGGCTTTGGTATCCATCTTGATTGAGACCAGGTTGATGACAGATACAGTCAATGCTTGGATGAGATCCATACAGTTATATCTGCATTCCATGCTGCAACTGAGTTAGACCCTCAGGTGCATGCTAGTTTTGCTCTACAGACAATCTCTTTCTTATACAAGAACCTAAGAGAGAGGATCAGCAACCAAATCCTAGCTATGGGAGCTAATTTCGACGGTGGATGCATTAGAGGTAGAGAAAAAACTTTTCAAAATTCATTCATCCAGGAGCAATGGGCACTGCAGCAATTAAAGAAGAAGGATCAATTGTGGAGACCTCAGAGAGGCTTGCCTGAAAAGTCTGTCTCAGTTTTACGTGCATGGATGTTTCAGAACTTTCTTCACCCGTGAGCATCTTACTTGAGAATTTGCTTCTACATTTGTTCATAACTGGCATTTTCTCAAAGTCAACTAGGACAAGAAATAGTTTGCTTATTTCACATTTATGCACAAAAATGGGCATTGTTTGGCGAGATTTGACAGATTTTGTATCTGCAGGTACCCTAAGGATACCGAGAAGCATTTACTTGCAATAAAAAGCGGCTTAACAAGGAGCCAGGTACTTGGAGCATTTACTACATCTTTGGACTTAATTTTGTTTGTGAAGCATTTTAACCATCTGACACTGTTAGAGTCCAAAGGAATGGACTTGTACTTTTTCTTGTGCATAACTGGTGTTTCTTAGCCCACTTTTAGATGATTCTATTGTTTCATTGTGTACATTGGAATCAATGAATGACCAGGTCTCCAATTGGTTCATAAATGCCCGAGTTCGTCTATGGAAACCAATGATAGAGGAAATGTACTCAGAGATGAACAGGAGAAAGGCTCGGCAAAATGAGGAGGGAACCAACAGCAACCACAGAAGCCAGATGAACATCAACAATCAAAGATTTAACATCAATTGAGGCCGAAGAAAGGAAGATAGTATCAATTGAACCAATGAATTCAAGCACGTTGGAATAGGAAAGAAACACATCCACCTCAGGGTTTCAACTGTACATAATGCTCCATATAGTTGGGACCTTTAGCTTTAAGAGGGTGTGATTCTATTACTAATATTATTTATACTCTATTCAACAGGAATCCCTTTGTTGAAAATATTATGAACTCAATAGGACATTTCATGGAATTAATTGGTATGGTAACACCTGGCTCCTGGCCTGTAGCACACTTTTATGCATGGTGATTCCTGGGTCACCAATGGTCACCAATGTACTTACGATGTTCCACAAACTATCAATATTAGTATAATACATGGCGGCCAAAAGTTGCTACTCAATTATTGATCTCAAAATTGAATCTTCTGCATTGCAAAAGACAGCATCCAGGGATTGAACCTTTTTCAAGCTGTTTGTCAAATTGTCATATACGCTTGATAGTTTACCGTGAGCAAAACAATTCCTGGCCTCTTAAGATTTACTGCATTGCAACTTCCAGGGTTCCAAAAACAATTCCTGCTTGATTTTATTTCGTCATTGATAATGTTGGTGTATGCCATTAGCTATTCGAAGGAAGCAGCCTCAAAGAGGATTCTTTTTTTGGGACCGACTGTAAATGGTATCAGATCTAGTTTGCCAAGAAGATTATGAACTGTTGACTGTAAATGGTATCAGAGTTAGTTTTACCAAGAAGATTATGAACTGTTGAAATTATGATCAGAGTTTTTCACATGTATCCTGTAGCGAAATATTGGCTTTTACCTTGACATGGTTAGTCTGGCTAGCCACCTGCGCGGTTGAGGAGTCGAAAGGCTCGCTTTAAAAACTAGTCCTGAGGGACTTTGACAGGCCACCCCACTCAATGGACCGACTGCAAATGGCTAAATTGAAAGACATTTGAATTCTAATGTTAAGGTGTTAACCTAGCCAACGAGGGTATTCCTTGATTTAAGGATGGTAAGCGATGTCAATGTCTTCTTCATCAAGACGATCTTGAAGAATCATGGATTGCTTGTCGGATATCAACACGAACCCGAGTTATGTTGATGGAGAAGGCAGGCTTAAAGTCTTTCCTTACCATGATTCTGAATCATCTTCTCATGGCTGCAATATCTGCCATCCCAACATGTGCAATGTGGATATTAAAACCCCCATTTTCTGTTATTACAAATCTTTAATTACAAAATCTTATGATCAACATTTATACATTATGCTACAAATTGTAGCATAAACAGGTTTGTTGTTTTCATTGTTTAATATGGTCTGATCATGGACGGGATTCAAGCCTCTGTTTCTGCCACCGGGAAGAAAAAGTTTATCTACTGATTTTTGCCCGGTTTTTGATGCCAAAGGAAGGATTTTTCCAATCTGATGTGCAGCAATCTGAAGCTCATTAAACACATATTCACGAATGGAATGATGGGGAGGAGCTTCTGTCCTATCCAATTTAATCAACAAGATCTTCATTGAAGAGAACTGCGATGCGAGAATCAATCAAATTGTACCAGTTGACTGCTAATTCCAGACGAGTTCGGTCTATCCCCATGAAGCCTTTCGAAATGCTCTTTGACAGTTCCATACTAGCGAAATTGGAATGCATACTGCTACTTTTTACTCTTATTTTCAATCATAAGAAGTTTAATACTAGTATTTGGATTCACGTTTATGGGATAATTCTACGAGTCCTTGAAAAAAAAAAAAATCATCTGATGGGAATCAAAATTTTTTCCTGGGAAGTTAGTAATCCCAAAGATGACTATTTCAGTGACAGCTACCGCTCTAATGGTTTTTCTTTTCCTCTCAATTCCTGGAAAGTGACATAAATCCATATTCAACGGATAACTATACATTTATATGATCCTGCAACTCAGCAGCAGTGCACAACCATAATTGCCTGACAGACCCCACCATGTTTAGCTGAAAAGGTTGATAATGGTCCATTGAATCATCAACAGTAAGCCATAGAATTATTTACGTTAAGTGTCTGCATTGGTCTTTCAGCTTCACTGGCAAGGGATATTTTCTTGGGCAGCATAAAAGATGCAAAATAATCGATAACCAATTTTACAAAAGCAGACGCAAGAAATAGAAACATTTAGCCCCCTTTTTTTTTTTAAATCATTATTATTGGGGTTTCTCTAGTAAATAATTATTTCCATGTTTAGAGATGAGTTAACCTCAGCTAAAATGTATGGCTACAAATAAAAGAATCGACAGTATCTCCTTTTCTGTCTGTACTTTTTCTCTATCTACAAACCTAGTAATCCTCTCTCCTCGTCACCAACCGGTCAAAAGATGTTACAACCTTACATGTATAGATTACAAAAAGGTTATCTTGCCCTTTCTATTTCATCTTCTGTCAAACTTCCAATGAAACCCGGGTTTTAATCGGTTTCAACTTCAAGCCCATGCTTTCGGGTGAAAGAAGCTCCGGAGAGATGCAAGCTGAACTCAAAGGGCTTCTTGGGCTAACGCTTAGAGTTGGCCTGTATAAGCCATATGCCATAAGAAAATACTCTATTGGTATCAACATGGCATGGGGTTGCTCCTCTGTCACCATCGACCCACATGCCTGAACCTGTAGGTTCCATTCCACCATTTCCAGGTAGTTAGTTCACTGCCATATGATTTTGAAAGCTAGATGTAAGATAATATAAACAGGTTAGGCGATAGACTGTTTGGATACCTCCACTAAGGCACTATATCTTCTATCTAATTTTGATGTCATGTGAAGAGCCTCGGAATGGAATGGAGAGTGATCTCCGACAAAAATTAGTGAACGGCAATGCAGTTTTCTTAATCCTTCACTAAGGTCAAATCTCCTGAAATGAAAGACAGTAAATAAGACTTCCATGCTAGATCAAAAGCACTAATTACATGCATGCATTGAAAATTTTCCTTTTCTTTTCTCCAGGTAAAGGTGATATGAAAAGCAACCACGGAAACCTGTTTTAAGAACACCTTCTAGTCTACCTATCTATCATGGAGACAGGCTTACCCGTTCATTGCTTCAAGGAATTGCCAAACATTTATACTCTGCCTTTCATCTAGCAACTGGAGGAAAAAAAAAAACACGATTTAAGTCAGAAAAGTGCCATGAGACAAACCAACCATATATCATGATAAGTCACTCGCATAAAAAGTAAGAGGCAAATATAGGGAGATGAAGAATTAACCCTTCTGCATGCTTGAACTATATCTGATTCTGGTACTTGAACAGTGCCACGAACTTCCTGCCATTATCGTTTAGAAACTCATCACTCAACTAGTCCAATTCTAGACACCGAAATAAATGGCATAAATTTCTGGAGCAGAAAAATACCTTGCTGAAGTACCTCTTAAGCAATAACTCCTTCACCACTCCACACATTCCATAGAAATAAAGTAAATTTGACATCACCTGAAATAATATTAAAATCCATATCAGCACATAATTTTTTAACCCCTAAGAGAAAATAAAAAGGCCCAGAACAGGAACCTTATTTAACAACCATTCTGTCCACGAGGGTGCTGTGCTGAGGGGTGAAACAAGTATTAACCCAAGCACACGTTGCCTGTGTTTCATCTATTAATAAAAAATAGAAACAATTATTTCCAGGAATACAAAAGAGCATTTAGATACTTATTTGGAAAGGAAAAAATGAAAAAAAAAATTTTTCTATACCATGCCAAAGTAGTTGACTTACAGCAAATAGGGTAAGAATATATGCTCCAGCTGTAACTCCCATACACATTACAGCACCAAGCCTGCGGTTAAAACAGAAAATAAAGTAAAGAGTTAAAAGGATAAGGAATATCAGCTTGCTTGCCTTTTTTCCTTTCCATAGAAAGAATTAATGATGATAACATGTCAAAGAAAATGACAGCTTAAGAGATTTTGTAAAGGTAGGCAGTAGGTGCATCAATTTACATCATTTTAAGACAACTACCACACCAATTACCAGCCATAATGACAAAATAAGATGCGTCAAAGAATGCCTACAGCAGAAGAGATTACTGTGAAGTAACTTTCTAATCAGCTGACACTTAGAAAGAGAAAGCAAATAAAGTAACTATTAAATTAGATGATTACCCGAAAAAGTTGAGAACCTCAACAATCTGATCTGCCAAGTCATCAACGGAAGGCATACGGTCATTTGAACCAACTGGTGCAGCTCCCAACTGCAATATTTTTTGAAGAAAGTCCCACAGAAGAAAGTTGAGAATTATAGGATGCAACCAAAAAAATAAACATGAATAAAACATGCACAGAACTGACCTCATGCTCAGGAGGACTTATATGATATATGCAAAAGTTGTGGAGGAGTAAGGAACTAGCTTCTGGACAAAAGAACAAGCCTTGAAAACAGGAGATATCTGCACAATCTCACCCCATTAAAAGTTCCGGTTAGAAACAGGAAGTATCACTGGATGATATGGTCTCGATCATTGTGAAAATCTTACAAATAAAATACGAACTTCAGACACGTTACACTAACATGTAAAACTTTAGCTCAAATTAAGGGCATTACAGCCTCAAAGTCTATTGCATTTTGAAGAAAACACAAATGAAGGTCTCAAGTTTAAAACAATATTTATGTTTAAGGAGAAAATTCATTATTCAAAGATAAAAAAACCAAACTAGAGTGAACCTTTTTAGCCTAGATAGTTGGCAAAAAAAAAAAATCAATTTTCATAGACTTTGCAGTACATATTTTGTCATAAGGAGGGAAGAATAAGGAAAATAGACAGCACAATAAGGTTTTCAGCATTACTTACAATTTAGAGCTAAATCAGGATAGGTGACAAGAGCCGGTTTATCTTGGTCTCCAAATACAGCAACCGAAACCGTACCATGGCGAGTTTTCACAAGGTACTCCTACAGCCATATTTTACAATGCATTGTTATTCATTTAACAACTCTCTGGAAAGAAACCAAAGGAACCGAAACAAATTACCATCAAACCAAAATAACCAGCGCGGAAGAAACACAGCATATGATCTAGCTACGTAATGAGAGCCTAACTCACTCGGGTGTCATTTACTTTAAGAAGAGAAATGTTTCAAGCATAGCCAAAGCTAAGTATATTCTAACTAAATAGAGTTAGCATGAGCAGTAGAACTTTTTTAAGAGACAATGAGACATAAAGGCTTATTCTGCATCATCCAAACTCCTAAGATATTTTACTAGCATAGAAAGAAAATAAGTCAAAAGGGCAAAAAAAACAATAAACATTTCAAACAACATTGAATTTAGTTTATTAATGTAATTAAATTTAATTCATCTGGGTGCTTTTCAAACGAGAAAAAAGAAGAAGCCATTAATCAATGGAGTATAAAGAACAAATTATTTGATCATTCAAAAACAATTGCAGCAAATTTTTAAATTGTCTATGATCAAAAAAAAGGAATGAATAATTTAAATATATGCTTTAAGCCGGAAAAAAAATAGAGAAATAAGCAAAGAAATGGAAGCAAAATCCGGCTTAAAAACATTTTTTCCAGTTTCTTTTTATATTCCAATCCCGCATTTTCCCGGTGACCAAACAAGAAAGAGAAATAGAAATGCAGGTTACCTTGCCGCCAAGAGAGATCGTTTCCATATCGATGGAAACCGAATCGCTAGAATCTGCCATTTCCCTCTCTCCCTGTCTCTCTCAAAATGAAGACGCATTTTTAGAATTGGCTTCCATGCCTTATATACCAAATCTTCCCGTGTCCCTCCTAAGATTTTTCTCTCTCTGTTAAAATAATAAAAATAATAATAACGAGAAAATTAAAATATAAAAATTTTTAAAATTGTTTGTCTTTGCAACTACGAGTTTAAATCGTGTTTAACTCGGACCGAGTCACCGACGCTCGATTTGACAGGCTGAGAAAACTCACAAGGGTCCATACGAGCGGACTTAACCCGGGTCTCGGGTCTTTTAACCCCAGTTGAGAGACCAACGGCTTTACCAATTTTACAATATTGCCCCCCATTCCTTTTACAATTCACTCATTTACCATTAACTAGGTTTTAACCATTTTTTTTATTTAAAGGATTAAGTATTTGATAAATTGATATTACTTAGTTTGGGAGTAAGGATATACAGTTGATATATTGACTTTTGGCCAATAGTTTTTATCTGTCATTTGATCAAATGAGCTCAACCGTTTGATTTGTATATTGAAGTTATCTAATAATAATAATAATATTCTTTTATTTTTATTTGTTAGTATTTTTTATGGAAGTATTAATACCAAACAAATTTTCACTTGCTGTTTTATAATATTGAGTTGTGATTTTCGATACTTATAAAATTTTTTTAAATACCAAACAAGTATTGAATGATTCAGATTTTTTAGTAAAAAAATATTATATAAAATGCATTTGAAATCAATTTAATTGTGAATATAATAAAATAAATAAATAAATTTGTTCAAATTTTAAAATCATAATAAGATATATTATATCCGAAATCAAAATTGCTCTATCTTGATAAGAACGAATTTATTTATTATATATATTAGTCAATTAAAGGGATGGAATTTTTTATTTAAAATAACAAATTAAATATAATAATTTAAAATATAATAAAATAATATGATACAAATGATTTGAAAAAAATATTAATATGACAAGATTTAAAATTTTAACAAAAATTATATTAAATTTGATTAATTCAAAAAATATATATTTTATATTTTTATTTTAATACAAATTTTAATACATAATTTTTATATAAAATATAATA